GGAGTCTGTCAAATAATTTGGAAATGAGCAGTATAGGATAGGCCTTTTTTCTCAGTGATCTTATTTAATGCCCTATAATTTATACAGGAACATAGATCTGCTTTCTAGATACAAAGACGAAACCAGCACCGGCTGGAGAAGAAGATCTACGTATGTGACCTTTAGACAAGGACTTGTTTATTTATTCCTCCATGATTTTTCTTTCTTGAGGAGATAAGGTATATACACAACCCTTAGGGGATATAGTACCAGGAAACAAATCAATGGAGCAATCGTAAGACCTGTGAGAAGGTAAAACATCAGTGTGTACTTTGTTAAACACTTCTTTAACCTCCAAGTAGGGGACAGGAACCTCAGTAGAAAGAGGAACAGTAGTAGGTACATTAACCATACCCAAGCTCTTAGAAACAGGTTGAATACACTTAAGTCTACATTCACCACTCCATTCTAGAATCTCACCCTTAACCCAATCAATATGCAGATTGTGCTTGAAAAGCCATGGAAAACCAAGTATTATGGGACAACAAGAAGATGAAATAACTTGGAAGGTGAGAGAATCCTTGTGTAAAGCCCCTATCGTTAAGGTAAGAGGTAAGGTTTTCTGTGTGATCAGAGGTTGGGACAGTGGTCTACCATCTATGGCCTCAATGGCCAAACATGTGGTTCTTTCTTTGAGCGGCACTACATGGTTGGCAACAAACAGTTGGTCTATAAAGTTTTCAGCTGCACCAGAATCAACCACAGCATCACATGAGAAATTTACATTATTGCTTTGGGCAAAAACAAAAAGCATAAACCTATTATGAGGCATACAAGGGGACATATACATCACACCTAAGGCAGGTCCCCAGACAGTTCTTAGGTGCGCCAGTTTTCTGGCCTAATAGGACAAACTATTCTCCAATGACCCTTTTTTCCACAATATAAACAGAGTCCTTCGTTTCTCCTATATAGTTTTTCAGCCTCGGATAATCTCATCACCCCTAATTGCATGAGTTCGAGTTCAGGTTCAGGAGGGGGAGATGGAGCAGGTAAAACAGGAGTGGAGAAACAGGGGACAATAGACAAGTTGGATCGTCTGGTTCTATTTCTGGTTCTGTCTGTCTCTTAGACAGTTATCAATATGCATTGTGTAAGTACAGCAGTCTCATCAAGTACTGCATCAGACAGATCTTCGTAAAAGGCAGTGATTAAACCACTGTTAGTTCAGTCGACCTCTGAAGCAAGGGTATGAAATTCAATGGCGTACTCTGCAACAGCCCTATTGCCTTGTTTTATACGCATGAATGCTTTGGCAGCAGTTTTCTCATTACCCAATGGCTCAAATGTCAGTTTAAAGCAAGGAATTCTTTATCATCATAAGCTATAAATTTATTGCTCTTCCATAGAGGATTGGCCCATGTTTGGTCCTTACCTGTCAGTTGCTTCATTAGATAGCCTAATTTGGATCCACCAGAAGGGAATGATCCAGGAGACGCCTCAAAGTGATATTCTATTTGATTAAAAAATCCATGACACTCCTGAGCATCGCCTCCAAAATGAGGAGGAGGTGATAAGGATACCGAAGACACCTTATACACAATAGGAATACTCACAACGGGGGGGGGGTAGGAACTGACAGTGGATCATCGGGCTGAAGATGAACCATATGGACTAGGAGCGTTTGGAAGGCCTGGGCAAATTGATCCATGCGGTAATCATTTTCCTCCAGTCTCTTCTCGCACACCAACATGTGTTGACATAATTCTGCAGGGTCCATGTCCTTGTCATAATGTCACGATTACTGTGCGACCCAACACGCAAAACTATATTTACACAAACAACGTATACCGGAAGAATGGCCGGACTTAACTTGAAAGAGAATGGTCAAATAACAAGCCAAGGTCAGGGATACAGAATGAGACAAACTAGCCAAGGGTCAAGATGTCAGGTGCCCTGCCCCAGCGCTGCTCGTGGCGACTTTGCTTACCCCGTCACCACAAATGGCATCATCTGGTCCGTGTCTGACGTCTGCGGCTGTCCCCGCCACCGCTCTCCAGACTGGCAGTGTGTCTGATGTTGCACGCTCCAGAGCAGCATGCTTATATGTGTGCCAGTATGTGATCTTCCAGTTTGAATTCTCATTTTAGTAAAAACACTGTGACAAGGAGATAACTAGTGAAAATGAGATAAGCTGAAAAGTCAGTTCATTCAAGGCATAGATGCAAATAGGAAGAAGAAACATTGGAGGTTATGTATAAAAAAAAGATTAATATTAGTGTAAAGTTGACCACTCCTCAACTCTGTTTGCGCTTTCAGCTTCTGCAACAAAAAAAACAAAAGTAAAAAAAAAATTTAAAAAAAATATATATATATTTATTTTTTTGTATAACTCTTAAGCCAAATATATATTATATAAATTAGGGGTGCCCAAAAGGTAGCTCCCCAAATGTTTTTAAACTTTACAGCTTCTAAAGGCATGCAAAGCATCATTGGAGTTGTAGTTCTACAACATCTGGGGATCTACCTTTTGGACACACCTGATATAAACCGTACAAAATCCAGAACACTCATCCAGAAGCTTAAAAGTTCAAAAAAAATTATGTTTAAAAAAAACAAAACAGGAATGAGGTAAAAGTAGCGGTAATCTAGTTACAGGAAATGGTCATCTGCATGAGCTTGTCACAAAGCCAATGTGTCCCATACTGTAAGCACATTTAAGAGAGTGCAGATTCCTGTTTCATATATATGTGCTCTATGAATGTTATAACAGTGGCGGATCTGGGGGGGGTGGGCAACAGGTCAATTGTCCTCCCAGAAAAAATAGCGCCGGCCCTGCTGTTTGCTTTCACAGATCGGAGGGAAGATCATCGATCTCCCTCACCGGCCCACAGGCACTTTGCTGGGCAGCCGGCAGGGAAGGGAGAGCGGACCCAGGGCAGCTCTTACCTGCAGCTCCTCTGGGTACACCTCCCGCGAGCACGAAGCATTACCGCGGTTACCATGGCAATGTTCCGTTCTCGTGAGAGTGAACTCTAGCTGAGCTGCAGGGTAGAGTTCACTCTCACCACTAGGACTGCCAGGGATTGAAGCACTCTCCCCCCTCCCAGGCCACAGGTAAGAAGGGAGGGGATATAAACTATATTTATTTACTAATAAAAAACTTATAAAAGATATATATTATCTATAATCTGCTCTCCTACCCCTAACCCCTCACACAAACAATAACTCCCTACACACTGCACCACACAGCCCCCAATACACACACACTGCATCCCTCACACACACACATTGCACACCTCACACACACACACAGACACACACACTACTGCTCTATCCTGACCGACCCCAGGTAACTTGTCAAACTGTTTTTTTAAACGTATATAAAAAAGCCCAGAATGCAACAGAAGTGAAAAAAAACACTAGTGAAAGTGATCCTCACAAATACACAGAAAAGAACTATGAATACAGAAGGTATTGAAAACCACACAAAACAGGTGTATGAAATAGGAAAACAGTTTGACTACTTACTCTGGGAGGGTGCCACAGCACTACTGGTACTATAACCACTACAGAGAGCTGTAGTGGTTATTGTGCCTGGATTGTTTCTTTAAATAATTTGCCAGTGACACTCCCGAGATTAGGTTCTGGATCCGCCCCAGTGTTATAAGTGAATTGTTTTTAACAAGTGTTTATTACTCTAATGTAATAGAAAAATATATTAAAAAGTGTATAAATGCACTGAAGCACAGTGAAGCTCCCCTAAGGAGATTTTTTTCCACGATCTTACAACAATAGACAAACTGCAGGAAGTGAAGTAGAATACTGGGATCTGGAAAAGGTTATATCTAACAGAGTCCCTCTCAGTGTCCATTACAGAGTGTGTTAGAAAGAGTCCCCTCCAGGCCCCATTGTAGTCTCCCAATGGAGTTTTATGGGCTTGGAGGGGATGACTTTCTAACAGAGGCCATCTCAGTGTCCATTAGAGAGTTTGCTAGAAAGAGTCCCATCCAGGCCCCATTAGAGACTACAATGGAGGGGACTCTTTCTAATGGGCCATGGAGGAGGTCTTTCTAACAGAGGCCATCTCAGTGTCCTTTAGCAAGTGTGTTAGAAAGAGTACCCTCCAAGCCCCATTAGAGACTACAATGGAGACTAATTGGTCCTAAAGACGGGTCTTTCTAACAGAGGCCATCTCAGTGTCCTTTATAAAGTGTGTTAGAAAGAGTCCCTCTCTTAGTATCCATGAGAAATCGTCGGTTTAAAGAGTCCCCTCCAGTTCCTGTTAGAAACTAACATGGAGTCTAATTTGCTACAGATAGACTCCAATCAAAGTTTAGAAATATCTCAAATATGATCCAGAGTCATAGGATTCATCTGAGCAAAATTTCAAGTGTCATAGCAAATGGTCTGAATACTTATGTCAATGTAATATTTCAGTTTTTTTTTCTTTTAATAAATTTTTTTAATAAGTTTTCAAAAATCTGTTTTTCTTTTGTTAATAGGGGGTATCGAGTACAGATTAATATGAAAGTAAAATAATTTAAACAATTGCAACATAAGGTTGCATCATAAAAAATGTGAAAAAATATAGGGGTCTGAATACTTTCAGGAAACACTGTTAAAATCATAGAATTATTTGCAAAAGAAGACCAGCCACACTGTATACATTTCAGGATATAAACTTTGTAATCTGTTTGATCCAAGTGAGTCTGTAGCTTTTGTTTTAGTAATTGTATTGTTGTTAGTATTGCCATAGATGATACCTTAAAGTGATAGCAACACATGGACTAATTTGAATTGATTGTTCATTTTTTCAGTGTTTTTAATTTCTTTATATTTGTGTTTTATCATGAAGCCTAGGTCATAAATGCTAAAAATATTTTATAGATCTTTACAGTTTGTGGTTTTCTTCACACCTGTTTTTAATTTAAAGGAAAATATTTGTTTTCTTCTTGTGAAATACGAATCTATTCCTAGTCACACACTAACAATTTTTTTCATGCAAACAAGTCTGACGTGTTTATGATCTCAATAGTTCTTTCCAAAATGCAAAGAACGCATGAATATAACACAGAGAATTGGTGCATTCTCTGCCTCGGGCAGTGAAAATACTCTATGGTTAAGTTTTTGAAGACAGAGAACATTGGGCTGGAAGACGTGTTGGTAAAAAATTAGTTGTAAAATCAGCTCTTGATGAAGATTTGAGTGGGCTACTGGCACGATGGGTCTCTATGTTAATCTCTGGCTGGTACTTGCACTATCTGATCTTATTTTTGCAGGTAAATGTTTTAACTATTCAGTTGTCTATCCTGCTGGTTGAAGTTATGTACATTACAATAAATAAGATAGTTTTTTGATTCAGTATAGAAGGGCTAGATTTGTAAAACTGGAGAGTTAAATTTTTTTTTTTTTTAAAAAGAACTATTTTGTGATACCATTAGCTTATTCCATGCTTATAGACATGAGCCATCGAGTAAAATTGTAATTGTAGTAAACAGCATAATTACAAAATCAGATCCTGCAAAGTCATAGAAATCAAATAATAAAATTAAAAGCATTCCTGTTATTAACAGTGATACAAATAAGTTATGGTTAACAATGTTAATTATAAATAAATAGCTAATACTGAAGATAGAAGTGCGCCAGATGTAGGACATGTTCAAAATTCACTAACACAAATCTGGTTTTAGTAGTGATGGCTTCCATTCTATTCAAATCTATAAAATGTCTTGTTTAGCAATACTCAGGGATATAAGTGAAATATAGTATATATACACACATTTTGTTTAATAGTCTACCTTGTAAATTGTTTTGATATTTTTTTATATTCTCGCTTGTTGAATAGATGTCAGAATGTCATAGGATTTACCTAGCTCCTTATTCTAAAGAGACTAAATGTTGAGATACTGTATGTGCCTGTTAGTGATAGACTGCCACACTTATTTGTTTAAATTACATTATGCTTAGGTAGATAAAACATTTTTTTTTTAAATTCTTTATTTTGATGTGCCATGAGTGAAAAACATGTTTATCATACACATCAGTGTAAATTACAGTGGTCAATAATCATATTGTGTTGCAAAACTTAGCACTTTTTATATTAAAAATGTTATATGCGTGTGTCCCTAGACGGTTTCGAGAGGCAGTGGTGAGTTTAGGTGCCTATGGTGGGGCATGAAATCCGTCACCTAGAGTGAGAAGGGGTAGTGGTGATGTGATCCAGAATGGGTACTATTGTTTTATGTCGATACATAAGTGTATACTGGCTGTCTTCTGGAGAGTAAATTAGTGAGGTAACACTCCTGGATCAGTATGGTGTAAGTGTAGAATCTGTTTTTTGCAGAAGAAGTGTAAGAGTAGGTTATATCGAGGCTTTTCCTTCAGGAGGAGGTGTGCTATATAGACTACGCTGGAAGGGTTGTAACTGCTATTGCAGACTTCCTAGGAGACTGTCCCCATCTCCAGGCCTTCCTTCGGAGTGATGATAACAAGTGTATGCCATTTGCCTGCAATAGAGTTTCAGTAGTCGTTCCAAACTCTCTAAAGCCTCCTCACATCCAATGAAAGGCAACCACTTTAAAGATGCATATTAGCTAAAATCTATATTTCGCCTTGTATTTGCAGGTGGCATAATCCAACTTGAGATGGATAGTTTAAATAAGGTATAGCAGTTTAAGAGAGTTAGGAATAATTTTTTTTTCAAAAATTCTTTATTTTTGTAGTGCATAGATACATGACAAGGACATTTGCAAAATATCAGAAAAATATATAAAAATAATCAAGGTAAAGAGATATACCCCTCAAAGGTTAATCACAGAATAGACTGCATATTTTTTGATGAAAATGACTAAAACCCAGTGCTAGCAGATTAAAAGCAGAAGGAGTGCACTGATATAAAACGAAGCCTATGCATTGATTGCTAAGCTAACAGGAGTAAAATAAATACAGTAAAGCAGATACACTGGTTTTGTACACTGGCACTAAAGCATGTTGGTGATAAGGAAAAAGATAGAGGTATGGCATATCACACACACGAGAAACCTTGGTTGAGGTGGAAAGGTCACATACTATTCCTCAAGTGGGGCTCTAAATTCGGCTAGCCCCTTAGCCAATGCCTCTCCTTAAGACCAGCATTGTGAGTGTGGCAAGAGGTGCAAGGAAGAGCAGCATCCAAACAGGACAGAATAGGTGAGGTGTGCCCTAGTCAGATATTGCAGAAAGATAGGTTTGCCCTGGAGCAGCCCCCTGTAAGGTAAGAGTAAGGTCGAAGACCGGTGAGGGGAATGGTGTCACACATATTTGCAGCGGCATTCGCACATAACAACGCTACACACCACTCCTCCCAGCATAGCCCTTTCTTCATTACATGTGGTAGACATCTCCTTGTTATTCCTTCTCAGTTTCATGAGACAGGATTACCCGCTCTTGACTGCCACCTTCATGATCTTCAGGATCGGTGGAAGCTTGCGCATGGTGCTTTGTCTTTGGCTTCCTCTCGTCATAAGACCTATGCTGACAAACGTCACTCTATGGCACCTAATTATGTTGTTGTTGTTGACAGGGTCTGGCGGCATTCCGAAATGGTAAGGGGAATGCCGCCGGTCTCATATCTTTCCGGCCACTGCCCGCCAGGTCCGCTCATGCCCGGGAGCGGTCTTGAACGGTGGGCACGTCACGGTCTGGCAGCATTCCCACGTGGTTATGGAAATGCCACCCATCACTCACCCCTGGTGATGGCTCCTCCTTCTCTCACAGCGGCCGGGTCTGTAAACATTAGAGACGCCGGTCGCTGCAGCTTTGTTAGATTTAAGGGTTTTTTAGTTAACCCTTAAAGTACCATATTATGATTGATATGTGGTTGTGCCACACACACAAGCCTACGAACACATGATTCCCAATCAGGGAGTGCCTTAGACTACTTAAACCTGTTTTGTCCATTTCTCTATGCCCTATCGTGATTTCCATTGTGGTTATCCAAGAGCGCGTTCCTGGTATTGATTCTAGTGTTTTTTACCTTGGCTTCAGTTCTGACTATCCGATCTCTGTATTCCTTGACCTTTGGCTTGGCTCCTGACTATTCTGTAGTCTCCATTCCTTGACTCGTGGCTTGTTCACTGTCTTCGTGATTTCTGCGTATTGTCTTTATCCTGGTTTTTTCCTTTATACGTTAAATCCGGCCATTCTAAGGCCCGGTAATACATATTAGGATTTTCCTTTATATCTACTTAAGTTCTGCGTGTTGGGCATCAGCTATTCCTGACAAACAGCACCACTGCACCATGCTTGGCAGGTGCCTCTTCCGCCTCCTCTTTCGGGCATATAAGCATCGGTTATAGAGGAGCTCCGTCTCTCGGCAATCTGCCTCCCTGGAAAACCAGATGGATGTTGCCGTCGACCAGGGTATTCCTTCCAGTGCACATCCGACAGCTCCAGCGAGAGATAATCAGGAATGGTGTAGGCTGCCTTCATGCTTTGCATGTTCCACAAGACAGGGGGTGCTGTGACTTCTACACAGAGCTATAACTGTTCCCAGAAGGCCTCACATATGCTGTTAAATGCTGTCAATAGATCCAATCGAGGCCCCACAGAGTCATGCTCTGTCGCCATTTTGGGTGCCAACAATAAGCCCTGTCAAATTTACTGTGTGCACAAGTCAGTCCTAAAGTTAATTACGTAGCTTAGAGTGCCGGGATATCCCTCACCGGCAGAGATGATGACGACGAGGTTTCTCACCGAGATGTTCTTTAGTAGATTGTGGGTAGAGGGAATGTCCGCCTCCCTCACTCCTGTGTTGCAAGGTAGACCGCAACTAGGCCGCAGGCTTGTCCCAGTAAGATGCTGACTGGATGAAATTATGCCAAACGCACAGATTAGTCCCCCCGGGATTGTAGTAAATCAGTAGGGTCATCAGGTGTCATCTCCTTGGAGCAAAAAGTCAGCTTAAAGGGACACTATAGTCACCTAAATTACTTTAGCTTAATAAAGCAGTTTTAGTGAATAGATCATTCCCCTGCAATGTCACTGCTCAATTCACTGTCATTTAGGAGTTAAATCACTTTGTTTCTGTTTATGCAGCCCTAGCCACACCTCCCCTGGCTATGATTGACAGAGCCTGCATGAAAAAAAAAACTGGTTTCACTTTCAAACAGATGTAATTTACCTCAAATAATTGTATCTCAATCTCTAAATTGAACTTTAATCACATACAGGAGGCTCTTGCAGGGTCTAGAAAGCTATTAACATAGCAGGGGATAAGAAAATCTTAATTAAACAGAACTTGCAATAAAGAAAGCCTAAATAGGGCTCTATTTACAGGAAGTGTTTATGGAAGGCTGTGCAAGTCACATGCAGGGAGGTGTGACTAGGGTTCATAAACAAAGGGATTTAGCTCCTAAATGGCAGAGGATTGAGCAGTGTGGCTGCAGGGGCATGTTCTATACACCAAAACTGCTTCATTAAGCTAAAGTTGTACAGGTGACTATAGTGTCCCTTTAAGAGACTATATTGTGAGAAATCTCCAGGAGCTCATGCAGTGTGCAACCACTCGCCATGCCAGTCAAGCGCCGCCCCAAAGGGTGCAATCATTTTGAGGTACGAAGAGAGCACTGCTTTCTCTTTAGCATTGATTGAAGGTTTCGTTTTTTTTTATCATATAACAGTGTTAATTTGGGGGGCAAATTTCAATTTGTTTAAATATACTTAGGGATTAAGGAGAGAGCGCAGGTAACTTTTTTATTTGGTTTTTACTATATGTATTAGCTGATGTGTATTGTGGTCATTGCTGCCACCCAGGAGTGATGGGAGTGAGTGCAGGAGTTTTCTTTCTGTATTTGTATTCACTTTTTGTATCACACAGCTAGGTTACAATGCTGCCGCCCATCCCATGTGTTCCCTATTAAGGGTTAATAAGTATATAGGGGTGTGGCGGAACCAACCTCGCTACTGGGCACTGGAGAAGCCTGGTTGCTTGCCTGCTCCCTCTGGACTATGGCCCCATGTTAAACGCTGTTCTTTTCCCCTTTAGAAAGGCTTGTTCCCCTTTAGAAAGGCTTGTTTGGTTACCGCAGCTTAATTGGTGAATGCTGGGAGGCCGCTTTTCGTATAACCGAACACGTGGCAGCGGCCATCTTAAACTCCCGAATGGCCAGCGGTGTTCAGCTACAAATCTATGGAACTCAAAACAGACACTTATTTGCATGAACACCGCTGAGCCGCCGACCTCCCTTCTCCTACAATTCATACGAACGCCGCCCGTTCGGTACTTTCCCTATGTAAGCAGTGTTACCACAGATAGCTATGCCATGGAGCCCATTCGTGTAACGAAAAACTATGTGAAAGACTTTGGCTCCATGGTGATTTAACTGTATGTAAGTGATCTACCGCCATTCGGTAATAATGTGCGCTCAGATCTAAACTATCTGGGGATATGTTGAATGTATATGTTTTATGTAGTAATTGTAACACTGTGTAATTTTGTCTTTTTACTAACAAGTGGCTAATGGAATTTTGCCTCTGTCCTTGAGAGTGACCTCGAATGGAGTATAACCCGAGGGTTATGCTGGGAAGCTGAACTAGAAGAGATCCAGTTTCAGTGAGGAGAGGGACTCCCCAGTGTATACCAGCGTTTGTGGGACCAGGTAGCTCAATGGAGGCCGCTTCTGGGGGAGCAACCCAAGGCAGAGTGGGTAGGCTGCATGGAATCCCTAGTAGAACAGGAACTGGTACTGGATAATGCCTACCGGGTGCTGTGGTGGCACGCAATACATCAGGATGCCTGGCTGTCGGAGGGGGCTTCGCCGGAAGGGAAGGACTATGGTGGCCCTAGTCTGATATGGAGGGCCCAGGTGGCAGGTGGAGATGGGACCGAAGCCTCTCCACCGGCCCTACAGGGATGCTGGGCAGTCGGCCCAGATCTCCAGCAGCAGTGTGAGCCCCAGGGAGCTGAAGGTGCCGTCCTTCCTCCCCAGCGGCAGTGTGTATCTTTGGGAGAGGAGACAATTGGTCTCCCTCCCAAGCAGTCCAGTGAGTTACAGGGAGAGAAAGGTGCTGTCCTTCCTCCCCAGTGGCAGTGTGAGTTACAGGGAGCTGAAGGTGCCATTCTTCCTCCCCAGCGGCAGTGTGTATCCTTAGGAGAGGAGACAGTCGGTCCCTCTCCCCAGCAGCCAAGTGAGTTCCAGGGAGCCGAAGGTGCCGTCCTTCCTCCCCAGCGGCAGCTTATTTCACAAAGGGGAGACCTTATTCTCCCAGATGGGGCAGATGGGACCGCGGTCTCTGCACCCGGTCTAATTGGGTCCGGGACAGCCTGTCCAGATCCCCAGCAGCAGGACTGTTTATCGAAAGGGGAGACAGTCGGTCTCCCCCTCCAGCAGCAGCACCGGCTCAGGGAGAGAAGCCTACTACCCCCTCCTACTGTCTCCGGCAGTCCCCCCCCAGCTGTGATCAACATGGATCGCCGGTCCAGGTAAGTCCAGGGCTCCTATTTGCATTGATGACAATTTTTTGTCAGACGTACCTAGTACATCAGCAGGTTTTAAGGGGATATGTATTTATAACGTCATTCTAAATTTATTTTCATTTAAATACATTTGTATATTAATATCAAAATACAGTAAAAACTAAGTTAAACTGATATATAATTTAAAAAAATAATGTTTTCATTATTTTTATTTTATTGTTTAAATGTATTTATATAATAAATTTTATTTTATATAATTATATATATATATATATATATATATATAATTAATGTTATTCTACGTGTATTTTAATATTAATATATATTTATATATAATTATATAGATTAATATTAAAATACACTTTTATAATGATTTATGTATGTGCATATAAAAGTACTATATATATATATAAATATATATATATATATATGATCTAAGAACTTTTATTTACTTTATTAAACTTTATAATAACTTTTATTTACTTCTTAAATTTGTGCAGGCATAAAGGGGACAGCCTGATAGCTCAGGCACTGACCCTGCAGGTACTGCACAAGCTGGCTATTCCGGCCATGTGATCGCAAGGACCCCGCGATCACATGGCACGGGAGGGCCAGATTGGGCAGAGGGGGGCGCGATCGGCAGCTGGGGATTCACAGTGATCAGGTAAGTGGGGATTTACTATTGGACGGACCAGGTACGTCTGCCGTCGTTAACAGACGTTTTTTTGTCGGACGTACCTGGTACGTCAGAGGTCAGGAAGGGGTTAAACAAATACAAACAAACCAAAATAAAGCAAGAAAAAGTTTGAAAAGTATGTAATAAATATATATAAACTTACAATAAACCTGGCCAGATTACATTGTTGGGCACTCTTCTCAGCTAGGGAAGTTTTTTTTTTATCCCCTCTCCCCACCCATTTACCCACCCATCTCCACTTAAGACTAGTCCACTAATGACAGAAATAGGGTATCATTGTGCTTTAGCAGAAGAGAGAAACACAGCACTGGCATGTGCTCTGCATGAATTACACAGGTCAATCTCGCTATCTTCTCTCCCTGTCAGGATGTTGCAAGGTGAAGAGATCTCCCAACTACACATATGTAAATATGTCAATCATGCTCAATGCACTTTTCCAGCATTCCTAGGGATAGGACACTGATTGGTTAGAGCAATGTCCCCCTGGAGATTACTATTTCTCATATTTACTTGATTTTACCAGCCTGCAGACTGAGGCAACTGTTTCATTCAAAGCTAAAGCTTTTGAATGAGACAGCTGTCTTGCAGCAATGCATGTCCCTTTAAATTGTATTCTAATTTCTTTCTTGTTTATTTACACAACAAATTCATAAAATAAATAAAGATTAGATTTACTAAAACTTCATTATAGTTGGGACATATTTACCTGGAAAAGACCAAAATGAATTGCACATACATAGTTTTACCGTATAACATATGAAAGTATCCAAAACAATAATGAAACACAAAAATATAAATAAACATGCATATTTTACAGCGGATGAAGTACAAATATTCAATTTGTAATAAATATTCAATTACATTAAGACATATACTTGTGCTCAATAACTTTTACTAACTAACACTTTTTTTCCTCCCTTGTTTTTCAGATGTACCTTATTACGTTCCAAAGATCACCACTAAGCCACTTTTGGGGAAAGTAACATACTCGGGTTTTGTAATAGAAAAACCACAATGCATCTTCAACCAGTATCCTTCAAGTGATGTCTGGGTGGTAATTGCACAAAATGCTAGTATGTATATATTTTATTTGATTTCTTAGGAAAATACATTCAGAATTAAAATTAAAATCACTTGATTTTGTTGCAATTTATTTTTTTCCCCACATTCTTTATTTTTGTTGTGCATAGCATGGCAATTAAGAAGAGAATAGTCACAAATATAAATGTGAAAAAATACCATGAAATGTCAAATACTGCACTTTTTGATAAATAAAATAAGAAACCGTGGAGAACAAAAATGTCTAGGTATGACTTCCCATCAGTGGTATCTGCTACACAAGCTGAACGATATGCTATGAAAACACAATCAATACTAAGTTATCAGTGATGGTAGATAGGGACTTTATTTTAGGAGGTGGGAATCCCTAGCCACATCGGGGGTAGGGGCATCTTATTACTATTTGGAGGGGGGGGGGTTGGACAATGGTCCAACCCTCATACTTTATATTTAATTGGGGACCCCACCCACCAACATGGATGGGGGACAGGGGAAGGGAACACTGGATTCCCCTGCCCTTTTTATGATTATTAGGATCCCATGTTGCCGGTGCTCCCATGGGTGGAGGGCTATGTTTCCCCTTTTATTTCACAGGCTCCATCCCACTGGATACGGGCCATTACTATTGTCTAGATAGCAATTCCTCCCTAGTCGCTAGTTTTAAATGTTTAGCAGCAAGCAATGCCAGCAGGCAAGTAGTTCTTCAAATTATTAATTCACTTGCAAAAGGCAAGTGAATGATGATTGCGGACGTGCATCCTACTGTATGCATTCGGATTATCCGCCATACTGTCATTGATAAATTTCAGTACTGTAAATTGGACAATGGTATGTCCACCCTCATACTTTATATTTAATTGGGGACCCCACCCACCAACATGGATGGGGGACAGGGGAAGGGAACACTGGATTCCCCTGCCCTTTTTATGATTATTAGGACCCCATGTTGCCGGTGCTCCCATGGGTGGGGGGCTATGTTTCCCCTTTTATTTCACAGGCTCCATCCCACTGGATACGGGCCATTACTATTGTCTAGATAGCAATTCCTCCCTAGTCACTAGTTTTAAATGTTTAGCTGCAAGCAATGCCAGCAGGCAAGTAGTTCTTCAAATTATTAATTCACTTGCAAAAAGCAAGTGAATGATGGTTGCAGACGTGCTTCCTACTGTATGCATTCGGATTATCCGCCATACTGTCATTGCTAAATTTCGGTACTGTAAATTGGCAATGGTATGTCCACCCTCATACTTTATATTTAATTGGGGACCCCACCCACCAACATGGATGGGGGACAGGGGAAGGGAACACTGGATTCCCCTGCCCTTTTTATGATTATTAGGACCCCATGTTGCCGGTGCTCCCATGGGTGGGGGGCTATGTTTCCCCTTTTATTTCACAGGCTCCATCCCACTGGATACGGGCCATTACTATTGTCTAGATAGCAATTCCTCCCTAGTCGCTAGTTTTAAATGTTTAGCTGCAAGCAATGCCAGCAGGCAAGTAGTTCTTCAAATTATTAATTCACTTGCAAAAAGCAAGTGAATGATGGTTGTGGACGTGCATCCTACTGTATGCATTCGGATTATCCGCCATACTGTCATTGATAAATTTCGGTACTGTAAATTGGACAATGGTATGTCCACCCTCATATTTTATATTTATTTGGGGACCCCACCCACCAACATGGATGGGGGACAGGGGAAGGGAACACTGGATTCCCCTGCCCATTTTATGATTATTAGGACCCCATGTTGCCGGTGCTCCCATGGGTGGGGGGCTATGTTTCCCCTTTTATTTCACAGGCTCCATCCCACTGGATACGGGCCATTACTATTGTCTAGATAGCAATTCCTCCCTAGTCACTAGTTTTAAATGTTTAGCTGCAAGCAATGCCAGCAGGCAAGTAGTTCTTCAAATTATTAATTCACTTGCAAAAAGCAAGTGAATGATGATTGCAGACGTGCATCCTACTGTATGCATTCGGATTATCCGCCATACTGTCATTGATAAATTTCGGTACTGTAAACTGGTTTGGATTGGATGCGGAAACTCTGATTTTCCAAACTCATCCAAATGAATGTTACAGAAACAGTCAGAACAACAGAATCATGACCACATTTGGTTTAGTAAATATGAGAATTGTCAATGCAGTCAGAATTAGTTTTCACCAGGGTTTGTCCAGTCGTACAAAATACAGTGTTTAGTAAATAATCCCATACAAAAAAAATTATTTACCCTTTTACCAGGCCTTGGAAAAAAAGAACCTGGGGACATGGTACAGGCTTGCTATATTTTGGAAAGGGTGGATTCACTCTGAAAATTCGACCCTACTTCACAAAGTCATTTGTCAGTTTATTACTACTTGCCGCCAGCATTCAAATATTGTAGTTTGTTTTTAAAAAGAGCCTATGGTGGTCAATATGAGCCCCACATTACTACAAGGGCAGTGCTAAAATAACACATGTAGCCACACTCAAGGGGCATTGATAACAATTTTGGTGGGTGGGGGGACAATGGACAACCAGTGGCGGAACTACCACTGTCGCAGGGGTCGCAGCTGCGACTGGGACCGTCACTCCAGGGGGCCCGGCCGCCCTGTGGAGCTCTGCGACCAGCGTGCCCAGCTTGCCATGTGTTGCGGCCCGGCAAGCACTGTAGAGCCATCAGGCCCATGTGTTCAGAGAGAGCACTTCCTTTCAGTCCAGCCGGGTACAGGAAGCTCCTGTACCGGGGCCAGTGCCACCTGGCCACAATACACTGAATAACAGGTAGGAGGGAGCACTGTCCACTTCCCTCCTACCGGGTCACTCAAATCATGCTGGTGGGCCCTAGGCAACTGCCTAAGTTGCCTATAGGACGTGCCGGCCCTGCTCTCAGCTTATACAGAGCCCGCGAGGGAGAAAGAGGACGAAAGGAGGGAGTCAGAGTGGGAACTCTGACTCCCATCAGGAGGGTGACTAAACCATTGTGCATATGTGATTGTTTGTGTTTGTGTGTCTTAATGTATGTGTGTGTCTCTGTATGTGGGTGTGTGACTCTGTATGTGTTTGTGTGTCATGATGTCGATCCGGGGAGAGAGCCTGCGCATGGTCGGCATTACAGCATGTCCGTGCTCGTTCAGCACGTAAACAATAATACCACAAATAGACTTACCTCCTGCTGGGTCTCCCTCCACTCTCCATGCTACACGGCTGGGAATCGCGCTGGCGTTTTCATGAACGCTGGACGCTTCCAAGGGCCGCAATTTAAAGACACAGCCTCTGTTTTTATCGCTGGTGACGCGGACGTGTGTGCGTCAACACGCCAACAGCGTGCACGCAAGTTTTGGCATCACCAGGTCACAGTAACCAATTAGATCCCTATCTGGGCTATTTAAGATTCCTGGTCCATTTGTTTGATGCCCCGTCGTGGTTTACATTAGTTTGGTTTATTCGAGAGTGCTTTATATATTTCTTGTATTTCTGGCATTTTGACCTTGACTTGTTGTTCACTATTCTCATTTCTATTGTCCTTGATCTTTGGCTATTCTTATCTTTTATTCTGACTTTTGTATCCCAGACCTCGGCTTGTCTTGTATTACTCTTGTTGCATATAATCCGGCCATATCAAGGTCCAGTAATAGGGTTACTGTCTTTTCGTATTTGCTGTCCTTGTCTTTGCTTGTTTGATCTTATCTCTCTGTGACAGTGTGTCTCTGTATGTGTGTGTGTCTGTTTGTGTGTCTGTGTGTGTGTGTCTCTGTGTGTGTCTCTGCATGTGTTTCTGTGTGTATCCGCATGTGTCTCTGTGTGTCCGCATGTGTCTCTGTGTGTCTGTGTGTCTATGTGTCTGCATGTGTCAGTGTTTGTATCTATAAGAGAGTTATTATGTGTGTCTAGAAAACAAAATAAAGTCAAGCCAAATGATCAAATTGGTCCACCAATAACGGGGGATAACCCCAAAAGGAAACTATGTAAGTGAAAAAAGAGAATGGTGTACCAGGGGGGACACAGGCTAGAGTTCACTCTCCACTGGTCCACCAGGGATGGAAGCAGCAGAAAGGATCCCCCCTCCCAGGCATGAGGTAGGAAGGGGGGGGGATATTTACTAAATGCCCCCACACAATACACACAATCACCCAAACATACAGCACCCACATACAGCACCCCCCACACACAGCATCTACACACATACAGCACACACACCCTTACACACACACTAACAGCACCCTCACACACACAGCACCCTTACATACACAGCACCCTCACACACACAGCATCTACACACATACAGCACACACACCCTTACACACACACTAACAGCACCCTCACACACACAGCACCCTTACACACACACAGCACCCTCACACATACACACACACACAGCACCCTCACACACACAGCACTCTTACACACACAGCACCCTCACACATACACACACACAGCACCTTCACACACACAGCACCCTTACACACACACACTAACAGCACCTTCACACACATAGCACCCTTACACACACAGCACCATTACACATACACACTAACAGCACCCTCACACACAGCACCCTCACACACACAGCACCCTCACACACACACTAACAGCACCCTCACACACACAGCACCCTCACACACACACTAACAGCACCCTCACACACACAGCACCCTCACACACACACTAACAGAACCCTCACACACACACTAACAGCATCCTCACACACACAGCACCTTCACACACATACTAACAGCACCCTCACACACACACACTAACAGCACCCTCACACACACAGCGCCTACTCACACACACACAGCGCCTTCAGACACACACACAGTGCCCTTACACACAGCGCCCTTACATCCACAGCGCCCTTACACACACAGCGCCTTCACACACACACACACACACACACAGTGCCCCCCCCACACACACAGCAGTATATGTGTGTGTGTATATATATATATATATATATATATATATATACACACGCAGAGTGTGTGTTTGTGCTTTAGGGTGCACACCCTTATACAATAGGCTGCGCACGCCTATGATGGTGTGTCTCTTTTTATGTATGTCAGTGTGTGTTTGTATGAATGAGACACATTGAGGGGGTTAGTGTGACACATGGAGGGGACGGTGGAGGGAGTAAGACGTATGGGGGGGGCATGGCAATTTTCGCACCGGGGCCCCGTGGTTTCTAGTTACGCCTCTGTGGACAACCCACTTTTATATTTAATTTTAGCCTGAACTAGGCTGGGAGGCACTATAGGTCCCCCATCTATTATTATTTTTTAATATCCCTCACCCACTCCCTATAATAGGTAATCCCCCTGAGTTCTTAATATTATAGCTCTCACCTGCTGCCAATGGGTAAGGACTGGGGGGAAACTAGACCCACCTCTGAATTATTAAAATTGTAGTCCACACCCACCGGTCATGGGTGGGGACTGTGGGGACGTAGGTCCCCCTATTTCTTTTTTAATTAGTGTCCCTACCCTCTGGTCACAGCATTATCTAAGTATAGCCCCTACTTGGCTGTCCCCCACTGCTTAATGTTTTTAGTAATATCCTCACCACGGGGGTTGGTCAGTGATCTGTCCAACCCATTCTTTATTTTACAGCCCACACCCAATGTCCATAGGTGGGGGCAATGGGGTGAACTGTGTAGAGTCCCCCCTGTATGTTAATAGCATCTGATCACCAATATATGCCCAGGCACCAGCTACTCACTGTTTAACGTACATGTTCCCACTCGTGGCATGGGGGAGGTTTAACAACTGCCCTGTAGGCCTGTACTAATATGTTATTTATATTGACACACGCAGGCTTTTATTTAATTTTTTTTTAATAACTGTTCGGGTTAGTCATTAAAAAAAGACCAGTAATTGTGCCACCAAAGCTCATTTATCGGACAATGATTCTCGGGCATAAAAATAATTACCATGAAATACCATGTTATTTAGTTTTTCACAGATTTTAACCAAACCTGGATATATAAGTATTGAAACTTGCACTTGTATGTTTATGAGTTTTTTTGGTTTTTTTTTAAATGCAGTGTTGTATAGTGATTATTTTATGCACTATATTTGAGAATTGCAAGCGGTTGCAACTGCACAAAACATTATATGCACTTTCATTTATAACACTTTCAGCTGAAAAAAGTGCCGTAGCACTTTTCTGGATTTTATCTGTTTTTTTCTGAAGTAGCCAAAACATATATATCGGGCTCAGCTGCTAGAATTTTGTCTGGCTTTAAATCCATTCAAAATTAGTTTAAAAACATTGGGCAAAACCAATCGACAATAATGATTTATTAGATGAGGTAGATTTTGTTGTGCTTGTTTAAGCACCATAATAGATGTGTGTAGACATTCATGCTTGAAATAATAATTATTATTTTTTATTGTTACAGTTGTCCCAAAATTAAATAGAACAAGTCTCAGTACACCAGTCAATTCTTCATTTCTTGACAGCCAAAACTACTATCACATTTTTAAAACACTCGGGTCTGATTATCCATGTACAGACACATATGGAAATGCAGTTGATTTGTTTATGGTTGGTTCTGAAACAAACTGCACTGGTATTTCCTTTTGCAATCCACCATTACCACTGCTTGGATCCTACAGGTAAGTGTAAATGCATTTTTTATTAAAAAATATACCTAACAAAACATTTAACTTTACTCAGGAATGAATTTTGAAATTGTGGTCATTTCCAATTTCAAGAAGTACTTGAAATACTAAAATGTATATTATACGAAAAAATATGCAAATAGCAGGAGCAATCTATTTGTTTAAATAGTGGTTGTCCAAAATGTATCCCGTAAATAAAATGCTAGCTGCAGTCTATGAGGCTATAACATTTTCGGGGAAAGACCATGTTAGATCAGGTTAGATCAAATTTTTTTCCGTTAGATCTACTCTAAAATATGCAATATTAACAATCATTTTTAGAGGGGGCTAACCCGTAGCCAGCCCCCTCCTCAAATGAAATTTGGACAAAATGTTACTGATTTTGGTAGATATTTGTTAGATCAGGTTTGGTCAACAGTTTTTTTTATTAGATCTATCATGCAAGAGGCGGTATTCATTGCCAGATTTGGGGGTGTGACTACGGGTTAGCTTAATTAAAATCTAAACATTTTTTTTATTGATTTTGGTAGATATCCATTAGATTAGTTAATCTCAACAGTTTTTTTCGTTAGAACTATCACACAAGAGACTGCCTGCCTGTAACTGTAGTGCATGTGACTGTGTGTGAATGTCTGTAACTGTGTGTGTGTGACTACCTGTAACTGTGTAAGGCTGCCTGTAACTGTGTGTGTGTGTGTTTGACTGTTTGTCTGTGACTGTGTGTGAGTGAAAATCAATAATAAAAAAAATTCAATTTAGCTTGAGGGAGTCTAAACCATAGTCACGCCCACAAAGCTAAGTAGTGAATACCGCCTCTTGTGTGATCTAACGAAAAAAACAGTTGATCAAACCTGATCTAATGAATATCTACCAAAATCAATAAAAAAATGTTTTTTACATTTCGGTTGAAGGGGAGGGCTACCCCTTGTCACGCCCACTTGTCACGCCCACAAAGTCGGGCAGTTAATATCGCCTCTTGCGTGATAGATCTAACGAAAAAAACTGTTGATCAAACCCGATCTAACGAATATCTACCAAAATCAGTAACATTTTGTCCAAATTTCAGTTGAGGGGGTCCAGCCCCCCCTAATTATATATGCGATATCTCAGTAATTGGACTAGATATAACAAAAATGTTGCCTGATCAAACCTGATCTAACGCAGAGCTATCATAATCAACAACATTTTGTACAAATTTTTGTTGAGGGGGGGCTGACTACAGGTTAGCTCCCCCTGAAAATGATATTGCATATTTTAGAGTAGATATAATGAAAAAAAATTGTTGATCTAACCTGATCTAACAAATGGAATAATCTTTAGTTAAAATTCTCAATATGGGGGGGCTAACCCAGGGGTGGTGAGTGCATGTTTAATTTTCGCACCATTTAATTGTTATTCCCCTGTAATACTAAAAGATAAATAATACCCACAGGAACAAAATGCCACGTTTTTAGTTTAATATGCAATGTAGAATAGGGATATTGCTGTGGATGCAGAGTTTTAATGCAGTGGGGTGAACAATTAATACAGCAGATGGGAAGTTTATAAATATAGCTTCATACAATACTCGAAATTGAAAGAATTGGTGTTTTAATGTGATTTATAGAAAGCATTTAGGGTTTGAAGGAACACTATAAGGTCAGGAATACAAATATAGCATTAAAAACACTATTTAGGTGACCAACTTCCCTTGTCCTCCTTAAGTAGGGTAAAAACTGAACTTTATTCCAGTGTCGCGCTGGAATAAAGTTTTAAGTAAATATATGTGGGAGGAGCCATAAAATGTACTTTTGGGCTGAAGGTCCTAGCTTTTTTGCTAAATATGTTGGCATGCTACAAAAATAATAATTATTATTATGACTTGGGAAACATATCAGTAGACACCATCATTCTCACAGTTCTTTGTGCATGGATTTTAAATCAATAGCAGTCCTCGAACATGGCCCTCTGATGCTATATTAGCCAAAATTAGCCTATAAGACCCCTAGAAAAGATGATGATTGCACATGCCTCTCTTCTACAGTTCCAGATTTAGACATCTCGATGAAAATTTATTTTCCATTACCATCCCAAGGTCTTGGCATGCCCAGTTAATCTCAAAAGTTTTTCTAAACAGCTGGAACTGTAACCATTAAAGAGATAAACAATTATCTAGTAAAATACTGATCAAAGTGCAACTAATGATTTATCTCATTATTCTAATGTTTTGCCAAATCAGCACAAATGTTCACTGCTGAGATTTCCTACCTCTCCAGACTCTCACTGCCTTCCTCCAAGAATTTCAGTATCCTTACTGACACCCGCTCAGCCATGTCAACCAAGCTTCCAAGCCATTCTCAACTGTCTCAAAGACATCACCAGTGTCTCAAAATGTTAATTGTGTCTCAACGTCATGGACTTGTGTTTAAAAAACTTTCTGCATCTTCTCTTTTGCTTAGGTATAGCCATCCCCTCTAGTGTTTCAATCTCCCTGTACCACCTCTCCTCTCTCTCTAGACCTCATCACCATTATCTTAACTCATCCTCTCCAGTATGTCGGTGAGTTTAAAAATTATTACACATGTGAAGAAAATAGACTTTTAATTCAAGATTTTGTAAGGCCATCATTATGTTGATGTTTTATTTCTTCGGTAGATTGAAACTACCGAACACCGACCACCTTCCTGGCTCATTATCTACAAAGGGAACCGTCAATTGAGTGCTGTCTCTCTGGGTGGCCATTCGTATAGTTGAACGCCACGTGGAAAAGAAAATGGCGGCCATCTTGTTTTCACGAAAGGAGGCAGCGGCACTTGGTCTGGAACTAAAATCGGACACTCGACTTCCTGAACACCCCTAAAACCATACGAATGCCTGCTTCCTTTTGTCGAGGAGAGCTAGGAGAGCGCCGTTCGGAAGTTTGGTTCCCACAAACAAGGAGAACAATCGCTCCCATGAGCCAGGAGGCTCCATTCGTGCTTTTATTCGTTTTTGTGACTTTATCGAAATTGACCGACCGCACATACTGAATTCATGGAACTGTTTTGGGCAGTAGCCTTGTGTGCGGTCGGTGAACTTTGACTTCCATACATTGCGAAAACCTGAACCGATATGGGTGAAATCTGAATATGCTGGTGACCCAGATCGGGGCTATCAGGGGATGTGTCATTTGTGGGGATATCATGTATTTTAAGGGGAGTTTCAAGTTTGGGGGGAAATGTGTTCCCTCTGGCTGGAGATAATTGGGTGGCAGAACTAATGTAGATAGGGCCCTGGTGCAAGAATTAATTTTTGGACCCCCTCTAGCACAAGGATGGCCATCTGCCATACAATTCCAATTAAGCTATGCCAGCTAGGGATCTATCATTTGCCCGTCCTTGTAGGGTTGTATTTGTGAGACGTGTTTGTGTATTTCAATGTAAGCATGTATGGAGTATGTAGCGGAGCTGCAATCCTAAGATACAATATCTCCGCTGGATTCCTCTGAATCTGGAAGAAAGTGTTGGTCAGTGATTATAGCCCATTCCCCCAGTAATTGGACGACACACAGTTCTGGGAGTCAACTGAACTCACGGCTTTTTTTGCATGGCCCCTAGCATGGGGTCTCCAAAAACAACATTACAGGTTGTTTTTTTTCCCCAAGAGTCTCTGGGACTGAGAGATAATTGAGCTCTAATCTAGATAACTCAATTATCTCTCAGTTACAGGAAATACATACAATATTTAAAATCAGCCCAAAAATATAAGGAAATATTACAAGAACCCCACAAGGCTGATATCTCTGAATAGCCCAACATATATTCAAAAAGCTCTCAGATTGGTTTGGTGAAACAAAATTGCCATTCGGGAGAAGTTTTGACCAGCCGGCCATGAGGTGATGCCCAAAAGAGTTCCAGAGAAATCAGGGCAGCGGCCGGTTGTTCCTGCACAAACACTGACAAACGCTTCCCCTGGCTCCTAAGTAGCGAATGCTCCCCACAGTCGGTAGTTCCTACCTCCCGAACTTGGTTCGTGTAGATGGTCCGGAAAGTGTACGGGCAGCAGTATCATCCTTGCCGGGGTTCACGAGCATGTATTGCCCAAAAGAGTTCCAAGCGCTCGATGACTAAGTACCGCTGCCTGTGTTTGGGAGACAAAATGGCCATGCACTGGACCATGTGTGTTCAGTTATACAAACAGCAGCCACCCAGGGAAAGCATCGAGTTAATCCATTAATTGCGGTTAACAGCCAAGGGTGGTCGGTGTTCTGAGTCAATAAAAAGGAGGACCACGAGGGGGTGGAGCGCTGACGTGACAACGCACGCTGGTAACATTTCGCGGGCTATGCAAGGCGGGAGCGGTTCGAGGAACGGTAGTGGTGGCGTTTAAGGGAGGAGACAGACTTATGTTGTAACAGTCTGAAAAGGCTTGCCCAGCGCAGTACAGAGCCCTACAGCGAAAGACAGCGAAGTCAAGTTGGCAGAAAAAGGAGAGCGGACCCAGTAACTGGTGGAGGAGTCTGAATCACGAACAAGGAGGGAAGAAAAGACAGAAAAAGGGGTGAGAGGGAGAGAGGGAGGAAGAAAAGAAAAAGAAACAGCAAGTATACTCTGCTTATATAAATATATGAAATGGACAGCAAGTACATCGTGTTTATTAGGGATGTGCATGGGCAAAAAATTTGTTTCAGTTTGGCACTTCCGAAATTCGGGAATTTGGCAATTTGGGACTCCGGCAATTCGACACTTCGGCACTTCGGTTTGGTTCGGCACTTCCAAAATTCAGGACTACAGCAATTCCCTAACCCCTAACCCTACCCATAACCCTACCTCTACCCCTGCCCCTACCCCTAACCCTACCTCACCCCTAGCCATACCCCTAACCCTAACCAGGTAGGGTTAGGGTTAGATTCCTGTCATCATTCACGTAATTTCCCCTCCCTCTCTTGTTTTGCCACTTTTTAGAAATCTTAAGCACTTCAGCACTTCTGAAATTTGGCACTTTGGCAATTTGGTTTGGTTTGGCACTTTCGAAAATCAGCACTTCGGTAATTCGGCACTGCGGCAATTAAATTTGGTTCGGCACTTCGGAAATTCGTCAATTTGGAAGCATCAAAATTCGGAAATTCAGCACTGCAGCAATTCAGTTCGGTTCGGCACTTCGGAAGCATCCAAATGTCCGAATTGCCGAAATTCATCCGTATTTACATTCGGAAGGAAATTAATTGCACATATCTAGTGTTTATATCTGTATTAGAACTAAGGGAAAAATAAAAAATCAGATACACAAATTTAAGTACAGCTTAAGTGTAAATAATGTAAATAATACCCCAATTTCCTTACTATACCTCCCAAGGTGGAAAGCTACTAACAATATATAGAAAGAGAATTTCTTACCCCAAACGTGCTTGTATACTTAAAGAGACATTAAATATCTCAACTAGTGGAGTGAGAGGCCTGCACGGAGAAATAACAAGTATATTTTGTATACACCAGTATATGCAAGGAACAGCAAGTATAGTCTACACATATTTGTTCCCTATATATCTTGATACAAGGAAGGAAAAGCAAGCACATTTAACTTAAACCTGCACCAGGGAGAAAGAAAAGAGAAAACAAAAGTAGGGGGAAAGAAAAGAGAAAATAAGATAAAAAAGAAAAAAAAAGATATTTTGGAAGCTTCAAGTTCATAAATATATTCACTAAATGGTGAATTAAAGAGCAGGAGAGAAAGAAAAGAAAAAGAAAACAAGGGAAAGTCAGAGGTTTGTTTGTTTTTTCACTTCATTTTTTGCCTATACTCCCTGGAAGCTCCCTGATTCCCCTTCCCAATTATGGCGACTAAAAAAAAAGTGACTGTAAGCAAGGAAATAAAAAAGAGAAAGAAAAGAAAATAGAATAGAAAACAGAAAAGCATTCTCCACTCACACTGTTATGAACTGGTTTGGGACTCAACATAATGCATCACACTGATAGGTCAGAATTACAACTTTCTAAAATGTAGAGCAACCCCATATTAACATGTACAGCATTCAAGGATTATATTATTCTCTTCCCAAATATTTAAAGATTATCGGTATCCATGAATGTAAATTTCCTACAATAGGATACATTTACATGGTACCTATGTTTCCCGGTCATTAGAAGTTCTTAGACCATTATCTTTTATGTATCTCTGAGACCATCTCTGTTTTAATGCTGTCTGTATTGGTGATATAGTGTTTTTGCACTTTATCTCACTATGTTTTGACTATAGCTGTGTGGCAATTATGTATACTTTATGCATGTACTTTGTATTCTGTTTCTCTACCCTGCCCTGTATGTGACGGCCTAGCTTTGTGATTTTTTTTTTTAATTCTTTATTTTTTCTTGTGCATATGAATATACATGACATATAATCCTGCAGAGCCACAACAGCTTTAACAGGCGCATTAAGAGTATTGGTCAACGTGGCTTGCGGTAGACCGCACAATTTTATATTTTATAAAATAGAACAGGCTAAAAAGGCTGCGTATAGAATATGATTAGTGACTATTTAGTTACTTTGTATGAAAACAGCGCGATTAGTCTCGCGGAGGTGTACACCCTATCACATATTCTGCACTGTTTATGTTAGTATACATGCATGTCTAGAGGACCTGCCCGAATGTGAGACAGATTATACGATTCAAGAGACAGATGAAAAGATGAAAAGAAAACCTCAGGCAGGCTCATAGATTATCATAATAGATTATCAGTAAGCTTTTAGTTAATTGTGATGAACGATTAGTTGTTACAGAAGATTATTTTAGCCCCGAGACTTCCCCAACTATACAGCAAGCCGAGTAAGCAAAGGAACCCTGCCCCCCATGCTGATCTAGGGTTAATGAGAGAAGGCAAGCATTAATTACAGGCAGCAGATATCAATAGTCACATGGAGAGGGCCCAAGGTAAAGGTTAAGACTCTGCATGATATTAAGTATTACAGCAGGGTGGTGGCAGATGACCCAGGAATCTCAGTTAGTATCCTCCTCCAGCTGTAGGCTGCTTTGCCCATGGATTCCGCCTGCAAGGTGGAGAGTTCATGTGAATGGTTGCCCCCTTGTGGACGGGCTGTCGTCGGGTGCCATGGCCCTGTTGTGAAGGCGTATCATGCTGGAGTCCTACTGTAGAGTGTCACCTCTTGCCGGGCCGGCCCGAAGGTAAGTTCTTTGATGAGGGGCGGTGTGGGCTATCTCTGAACTTCATTCACCGGTTCACCAATGTTTCCCTTTTGCTCGCCACCTGTGGGCCCAGACTATTAGCGGTTCTGTTCTGGTGAGTATCGGGTAGGCACAGCTCAGAGCCGTATTTGATCCAGCCTCTCCAGCCACGTTGTCGGGTTCCACCTCAGCTCTGTGAGGAGTTTGGCCAGCCGGGAGCGAGAGAGTATACATGCCTCTGGGTTTGGGCGTTCAGAGTTGAGTTTGCCGCCATTTTACACACTGCTCCGGGTTCCATCCATAGTAGTGTGGTGACAGATCCCTGCCGCAGGTTCACTGCTGCCGCAGAGGTCTCGGGGCATGGACCGGGATAAACCCCGCCAGCCCATTGGAGGGAGACGGGGCCTACTCCACGAACTTGTGAGGATCTGGCGTGACATAGTCGGGCGGGATAGCGGGGCGGCGGCCGTCCACCTCGCTCACCACCTAAGTAGGCCTCATCTTATGAGGACGACATGAGTCTTTCTTAAGGTACTAAAACAAGGGATGCAAGGCTCCCTGCTGGTCCAATGCCCCTTCGTGTATCGGACCGCGTTCTCTGGTCATCAGGAGGGTACCAGGTCAGCTTTAACTTGCTTGAATTTTGCCTGATTGCAGGAGCTGTTGTTTCATGTGGCTGGTCTGCATGGTGGTCAGGCCCCACCCCCCCTTGTGATTTGTTTTTAATTAGGTGATTCCAAGAGTCATGTTATGAAGGGTATAAAGCTCTGTACCCTATTATCTCCATATACATTGGTTCCGGCTATCTGCTGTTTCGAGTAGTATGTTTAGAATCACATAACAGACTTGTTGTCCGATTTCCGTGGAGATGACCTCTGATGATGTCATGATGCCGGATGCAGCATGATGACGCAATCGGGTCAATTATTAACCCGTGCAGGCTCCGGCTCTTGCGGTCTCAGATGGAATCCCTTCACTAATTGTGGTGGTGGGTATATGAGATAGTTTTTTACTCTATTAGCTCATCCTGATGAATTTTGGATTACAAACTTAAACGTCGATCTTTTTACTTTGAGCAATGAAAGCTAAGTTTTACTTTAATCATTTTGAAGTCTCTGGAGTGCTATCTGTACTACTTTGAATCTGTGAATGCTAATAAGCACCGGGCACAAACACCAGTGAGTTGGAGTGCAAGACCATTTTTTGTATATATATATATATATATATATATATATATATATATATATATTTGTGAGAAGGGCTCATGATAGTACAGAAGATACAAACACTGATAAGTGTGGGATGGTATTAAAAGAGCAAGTCGGTTGTGGTGTGCCGGAACCGACGATGAGGTAGGCCTGCAAATAAAGAGGGCCCACCACGAAGAAATGTATGAGAAAAAGGAGTTAATGAATGAGGAGTGGGTGGGAGGGTGATGCAGCGCTGACCTCGAACGGTATGGAGCCAGGTAAGGGGTATCCCTTAAGTAGGGAGAAGGTAAGTCATACGCACCTCCCACAATTACAGGCCAAAAGGCCTTAATACTTGTGTGAAGGACTCATGATAGTACAGAAGATACAAACACTGATAAGTGTGGGATGGTATTAAAAGAGCAAGTCGGTTGTGGTGTGCCGGAACCGACGATGAGGTAGGCCTGCAAATAAAGAGGGCAAAAGTAGAAAATATACTTTTATTACGAAACGAGCAATATACATACTTCAACCAGACATATCTTGAAAGGCATTTCTAACTTCTTGTACCGGGTTAGGTATGTATCTAGAGTATGCAGAAGACTTCCAGCGCCCTAGTGACTTGATAACATGTACTGGAATGTTTGCACTGGACGCTGTGGAGGCCGCCCCTATGCGGAAGGAGTGGCCCGAATAGTTAGCTGATTTTAGGCCTAGTTGTGTAAGTAGGGACCTGACGTGGGTCATAAGGTGGTGGTAGTGAGTACCGAACCTTGTAGACAGAAAAGTGGTTGAGATGGTGATGCTTTGAAATGCTGAGTATATGTGTCCAGTAATGTGACGGGGCACCACTCGTTGTGGGTAGGATAGTATCTAACCTCTACCGGGGGTGCGTGTTGGTTGGTTTTGGAGTGATGCAGAGCTAAGATATAGTAATCCATGTGTTTTGTTAAGTGTGAATGAAGCAGAATGTGAGTGGACTGGGATGTGTTGATGGCGGTAAATTCTCTTGGTCTCAAGAACCCATAAAAAGCCACGTATATGGCGGTTTTTATAACAAGGTTAGTGTTGTTTGCGAAGGGTTTTAAATCTAGTAGGCTGGATAAATCCTTGAAAATATTGAAGTCTATAGGTAGCCTTTGTGCGGTACGTGGGGGTTCGGATCTCTGGATACCCCTAAGGATGTTTTTGATCTGGTAGGAGGACATGAAACTTGTGTTGTTTGGTTGTAATGTTAGCATGTGATGTTGTATGCCTGTCAGATATAGCTTGATTGTGTTGTAAGATAATTTAAGTTTGAGGTGGCAAAAAGAAGCAAAACCTAACAAAGATGTCATGATGAAAGGTTGTGTGATGTTGTGCAGTGACAGGAATCTTTTAAATAGAAGGAAAGCCCTGTCATATGTTCTCCGGGTATTGGCTAATTGTGCCAATGTCCTGCTATGTTGCATAATAGCTTCTAGTCCATAACTAGCTGGTGGAAAGGTGGAGTGGTCGTGGCTGTACGTGCGGCTGACGGAAGTATTTGCCGAAAAGCCTGTAAATTGAAACGAGACAAATTGTCAGCAGCCGTGTTACAAACACCTGGGACATGAACACAACACAAGAAGAAATTATGGCATGCAGCCAGCCAGGTGAGTTTCCTCAAGAACCTCATAATGGTCAGTGACTTGGATCGGCCTTTGTTTATGATGTGGCAGGTAGCTTGGTTGTCTGAGTGGCAACGTACTGACGAACCTGCCCATAGATGCCCCCATGTCACGGCAGCTGCCACAATGGGATATATCTCAAATAGAGCTGAGGTAGTGGAAAAACCTTCCAGGTCCTGTACCTCTGGAGGCCAGCTACCCCAAAGCCATTCATTCCCGTAAATTGCTGCAAAACCTGTGGTAGACGCCGCGTCTGACCAGATGGTAGGTGAGGAGTCAGACAATTTAGGGAGAAACATGCTTTTCCCATTCCAGGTGGTCAAAAAGTTTCTCCATATAAGTAGGTCTGCCGTGGCTTGGGTATCCAGTGGTAACCTGTGTGCATCATGTCTAAACAGTGGGAACATGTATAGGAGCCGTGAGATGAAAGCCCGGCCTTGAGGTATAATGCGCATGGCAAAGTTCAGTGACCCAAGTAGAGACTGCAATTCTTTAAGATTGCAAGTACCGAGGTGTATGTAGAGGTTAATGTTGGTAAGAATGTTCTCTATCTTGGTGCGTGGCAGGCTGGCTTGCATGGTGGCTGAGTCTAGCATGATTCCCAGAAAGGTGATGACTGTATCTGGTCCTTCAGTTTTGGTGGTGGAGACTGGAACACCCACCTGTTTAAAAAGACTGATGGTTTCTATGAGGCTACTGGGAGGGGAAATGTTCTCTTCGATCAGTAAGAAATCATCCAGGTAGTGTATAACTGTAGGGCATCTGGCTACATTTAATAATAACCAGCATAATGTTTCGGCGAATACGTCGAAAATGGCCGGACTACTTTTTGAACCAAACGTTAGGCGTGAGAAAAAGTAGTAGTGCCCGGCCCACTTAATGCCATGCAGGTGCCATAGTGTAGGGTGGATAGGCAATAATTTGAAGGCATTTGTAATGTCAGTCTTGCTGAGCCATGCTCCGACCCCTGCCTGTATGATAGCTGTAATGGCGTGATCTATGGTGGAGTATTGAAGTGAAAATTCCTCAGAGGGGATAAGGGAGTTCAGACTAGGTGTGGCAGATGTGTGAGGTGCAGACAGATCGATGATAAGTCTTTGTTTGTTGGAAGATTTCCCTGTGACAATACCGATGGGGTTTGTCCACCATGTGGAAAAAGGAGGGGACTGAAAGGGTCCCAATAGGAAGCCCTCTGCCACTTCTTTGGCTATGAGTGTGCTAACCGCTGTAGGGTTTTGTTGTGCAGATTGTAAATTAGGACATTCAAGGATTCCTGAAGGCATGTGTATGAGACCAGTATGGAATCCTTGTGATAGGCCAGTGATGATGAAGTCTACCAAATGTCCAGACGGATGTTGTGACAGTAATGCCGTGAGTACAGAAATATTTATCTCAGTTAAGTATTGCTTAGGGTACATTTTATTTGGACACATGGTTTTCGCATGTGCCCTAAAACATTTTGAACATATATGCAATAACCGACAACCACTGTAATTACATGCACCGACATTGAAATTATTACATATTTGGGATTTCCCCAAAAACTTGATAGGTCGACCCAGTTTGTCTTTGGGTGTATGAGCCATGGAGGAGCAGTGTGCACAGGCCGGTGCTCTTAGACCTGCAAAGTGCCTGCAAAAAATGATCGTATCAATCTTACTCCAGTTGGACCTTGTCCCGTACTGTGAGAAGGCGCCAGACACTTTGGCAGAAAAGGATCTATGGTAGTCATAGAAAGCTGACCCACCATATTTGTTGCCCAGATCAACCAGCCTGTGCATATATAAGTCAAACTCCTCACGTCTGTGGGGATATACCGTACAGATCACATCCCGATAAATGCCAAAAGCTAATACAAATTCTGGAATGGTTAGCTTCCTATTTAATCGTGCATCCCTAGATTTGACCACCACAGAAATATCGTCATAAGCGTATGTCTTATGTTCCACTATATCCTGGGAGGCAATTAGTAGTGAGGCCAGATTGACATCTTTACCTTCCAGGATATCTTTCCTGAGGTGCTCAGGAATCATGTGGGCAGGGTAAACCTCTTGGTCATCCGAGGTGATGGCTGGAGAAACTGATTGCGACTCCACCACTGATGGGGGAATTGCCGTGGCCGGTCCAGCCATAGTGAGGGCTGTAGTGACCGATTCAAGTTTCTCCAGCCTAGAATTGACCTTGCTCATGGATGCCATGAGGGACGTGAGCATGTCATGTATGTTTCCTGGGTTGGACTGGCTCGACCCTTCCCCAGCGTCCATGTTATCGGTTGAGGTGTGTAGTAATTTGTAAAGTTCCGCTTTCCTTGCTGTTGCTGGAAAAGGGATTTGTCGTCTCCTGAGTTCGCTAGTGATGCGAGGGATAGTCCATGATCTGAAAGATGCTGGACTAGCCGTATCTTCCTCCTGTGATGGGGTGTTTGCTCTAGCCGGAGTACTCGGGATGGAGAAATCCTCTACCCCTTCTTGAGACATACTAGATAACAAAATATATGGTTAGCGTAAAAAACCCCAGGGGATGTACTGGCAGGCTAATTATGCCGGATGATGAGGCGAAAAATTTAAACTTGTTCTTTGGTGACAGGTGAGGCCCTGCTAGTTGCCAAGTGGCTATGAGAGGCTCTATCTATGCGTTGGCGCGAGGGGTTATTTGAGGCCACCCGACGTAGTGGCAGGAGTTCGTAGGCCTCTCGGTGACAATACAAGAAAACAGGGGAAGGGAGTGACAGGTGGCACCCTCTCTATAATTTGCGAGGCGGCTAACTCACGTGTGGCCCGGGGGGCATTACCTCCGAAACGTTGAGGCGGGGTGTTGGCCTCGCGGACCACTAAACGATAGGCAGAATGCCCGGAGGGGGGATACCTATTTGGGCCTATAACCCCTAAAATTTGCCAGTACTCTATGTCCTAAGTAGAGAAGGAACCATATGTGATGTATGGCGTGAGCAGGCTTAACGTACCTGGTAGTATGTATGAGTTTGATAAGCCACAGGTAAAGAGAAACTGGAAAAACCTAAAGGGATAGAAAACCAGATATGATAGTGTGAGAATTGGATCCTATGATACCAATTTAGACTAGTTAGCTGTGATGAGTTCTATCAGTACATATGGAGGGGGAATTTTTATGAATGGTAGTGGCCCGACTGGCCCTGTTATGTGGTATGGTCCTGGTAACCAGGCTTAGGGGTGTGTATAATATGTCTCTATGGTGACAAGATTAATGCGTATGATTTAGTAATGCTAGTGTTTGTAGTATAATATGGTGCAGGATTTAAAACAATACAGTCTATTTTAAGCCGTAAACATAAGCCATGAAAAGAGGTAAGTACGAGGTACAGAAATACTTGAGAAATTATCCCAAAAACAGGAAAAAACCCGAAAGTTTGTGAGATTTTTGAGACCGTGTTCTTGTGTACTTGGTATGTCGTTTGAGTACACAAAGAAAAAGTCAGAATATATAAGTGCCATGTAAGAAACGTGAGTACATGGTATGATAGAAACGTAATTCTAAAAACATAATTTATAACCTAAATCCTACATGAGATATCTATAAATAATGTAAAAGCTTGTTTAAGCATAACTCCATAAATATATGTATATAACATGAAGAATTTCAATATAACTAAAAATGCAATATCTGCTAATAGATTGAAACATAACCTAAATAAATACTTATTTATAAGTAGTTAACAGGGAGATTTGCTCCAGTCATATGCAAGGATTCCGTAATTTGCATAAATAAATACCAGTAATAACATGAAAAACAACTATAGATACTGATATTGCAGAAAACAAGAAGTTGCTTAATACAAGAAAACCGAACCGTCAGTCAGCACACACGTATACCGCGATCATGCCGGCAGCAAAGGGGTTAATATGCCTGTGACTTGGCCGTAAAGCGTGTGGCCGTAAAGTAAGGCCGTTTTAAAATCGCGACGCCGTGGGAAATGATCCGGGCGACGGACTTACGATTTTGCAGTCCTGTGGACTTAATCTGCGACGAAACACCGGGTATGTGCGTGGCTGGACGGGCGGAAGACCTGTAAGGACTCCTGGACACAGCTACACCAAACGAAACCGCGGGTTTTTTGAAAAGCAAGATGGCGCCGTACGTGAACCGGAAGTGGATTCTCGTGCAGCGCTGACCTCGAACGGTATGGAGCCAGGTAAGGGGTATCCCTTAAGTAGGGAGAAGGTGAGTCATACGCCCCTCCCACAATTACAGGCCAAAAGGCCTTAATACATATATATATATATATATTTGGTATGTATATATTTTGCCAGGGAATCTACCCAAAAACTCCCTTTCCCAATATAGTATCCCCACAAAACAAATATCAGTGGACTCATTTCCCACTGCATTGGACACTAAACTCACCCCCTGAGCTATCATCTGTCTAAAAAGCACCCGGATTGGAGGTACCCAGCCCAAGAGACAATTCTTTAGAATTCCACCGGGTTGTGGCTATCCTTGAATTTCCAGTCTTGTTTTGAGGGGTTCCCAGAGTTCTTAGCAAGGTAGTACTCAAAAATCATGGGTATCTCCGGATGCCTTCTCCCCAAAGACCGCTATGATTTGAGTTCGGGGTATCAAGTGACACCCAATCAAATATTTACCAGATCATGGAAGAGTACTGATCCAGTGAATAGTTCCACAGTGATTAAAGGTATCTCCCGGTCAGGTGCTCAGTATGAGAATGGGTTTAGGTGATCCACAGAATTCCTCTTGCTCCAGCTGGAGGGTAGAATAAGAACCTAGGTCCTCCTTTATGCTTCTTCCCCACCACAATTATGCTTGCCAGCCCTCTGGCTGGTTTAAAAAGTGTGGGAAGAAAAACAACAGGTGATGACAGCCAAGCGAAAATTCATGTGCTATTGGTCTGTATATTATAGCACTAATATTTACAAGGCTGGTATGTCATTTAAAAAGAGAATAAAATAAATGAGACATAAATCTCATTGATGAAAGGTTAATTTATTTAGAAGGAAAGCATGGCTATCTACATTGTTATTGTTGTCTTCTCCTACATATGATAGAGTACTAAATAGAGTTCAATGAAAGATCCAGCAAGAACGCAGGATACTTAATAAAACTTGTTGTGCATCTTACACATCACACGTGAAGGTGTGTTTAGGTGGTTGTTGGTTATGGATGCAAGGAAAAGACAAGAAAAGACAAAAGTTTCCTTTGAAACCCTTTGTCAACTTGAATCAACGTCAGCAACTATCCATAAGACAAAGCAATCCCTACTTTGTCTCATTATATATTTTAACTGAGTTTAAATTTTAATGAAATTCCAGGTCAGTCAGTATGAGTGTATAACACAGATTATGTAACCTATTATTATAATATATAAACACAACTGATTCTTCTTTTCTAGGGTGAAATTTGTTGTCTTGAATAATACAGGCTTGGTTGTAGAGTCACGCTGGTCCGATTTGATAAGTCTGCAAACTGGTAAAAATTGTCATAAAATTTTATGAATATACTAATGATTGCAATGGTTATGGTTTAAAAATTAAATTAATATGAGTATCAGTTTTGCTGTAATAACGTATGTCAAATGATGGGCAATTAAACAGTATATAAAACCAGATAAGCATTTCCTGCACAGTGAGGTGCTATGAATCTACAGTCTCGCCAAACCAGCAGCAGCGTCCCAAAATAAAGAAAGGTCTTCTCTTGGTGCATCCCAGAATAGGAATTGACAAAGACGAGCCGTGTTCTAAGATGAACCAATAAAAGACGCTCTACACTTTGCAGTAGTGGTTATTTTTGTTTATCTTTATTTTGGGAAAATTAAATTGCATGCATGTATTAAATTGAGTTGTGAGACTTGCTTGCAATATATTTTACCATGGATTGAAGCACAGCATTTTAAAGAATATAGACACGAAGAGTATTTCTCTGAAAAAGCAGTGTTTACATTGAAAAGCCCAAACTACTATATTAAGTTGTAGATTTCTGGTGACTACTGTCTCTTTAATAATATGTATTCCTAACGCTATAGTGCTTCAGTCACTGTTTAGGTGGCCTGGCTGACTTGGCTGCCAAGATTACTGACGTCCACTAGAATCAAGTTAACCCTGCATTATAAATATTGGCATTCCAGTAAAACGGAAAATTTCATCTGCAGAGTTAAAAGGGGGGCCACATGAGATGAAGTAGTATGGGCATTGAGATGAAATGGTCTTTAGCCTCTTGTTTATTGTCCAAGGCAGCTAGAAAATGAGGAATGCAAATGATGATTAATGGGATTCAGATAGACTAAGCAATTCCTAGTCTAACATAATTTTCTATGTTTCTTATATACCCTTTTGTGACGGAACACCATGTCTCTGGATTATAATTACTTTGTTTCACTCTCCTATGTGTTTGGGACATTGCATTCCCCTTCGTTTTACTATTATTTCGTTCACCAACCGAACAAACTACAAAACAGCTCAAGGTATGCGGAGTGTGCCACTCATTAACCTCTATCACCTCATTAACACCCCTAAACCGCAAAAACGTTCTAAGCGGTCGGCTGGGTGGTCGCTGTTTGGTATACGAACATGTGGCAGTGGCTATCTTTAGCTGCGAACATACAGAACAGTGTTTGGTCATCAAGTGCATGGAACGCAAATCGGACACTCGGCGGAACGAACACCACTAGAACCACTCGAAAACGGATGGGAATTGAAAAACTTTGGTGGGAGCAAGCTCCCGAATGAGGGACATAGACTGAGCATACCCACGAACCGCTACATTCTGTATTTTTGACTATATTGTGTATTCCTGAAAGAGACCAACCACAGCCTGATTTTTATGGAACTCTTTTGGGCAGGAGTCTCATGTCAGTCAAATTATGACCTCCATGGAAATCCCGAACCCCTGAACTGATCTGGGTGATTTTTGGATATGTTGGTCACCCAGATCGGGGCTATAAAGGGGATATGACTCTTGTGGGGTTTCCATGGGTTTTGGGGTTACTTTTGGGATACTGCTAAAATGTGTGTTTTCTGTGCCTGAAAATAATTGAGTTTACTACAGTTACTGGCTCAATTATCTCTCAGGCACAGGGGAAGGGTAAACCTATTTCGGATGGGAGTGTCCTGGACCTGAGAGCCAATGTCCTCATGTGTATGTTTTATTGTAGTCTACTCTCAGGTCCAGTGGGGAATGCCCCTGGAATATGTTATAGAAAACCCCTTGCATGGGGACCTGCATATAAGGCCAGCTGTGGCTGCCATTAAATCAGTTGTCCCACAGCATAGAGCCTCAGCTCATGTTTGTGGGGGACAGCTATAACAGCTGTCTCGCTACTGCTTGGAGTGCTATAACACTAGCTCTTGTAAGAGCTGTTCCTGCTCTGCATCACAGCAACCCTCCCACTAGGGGGAAAAGAACTTCTCTGGCGGCGAAACCCCTATTCCCATCGGGGTGGCCGCCACACCTTTAAACACGATTACATAAGTATCATGCTGCAGTTCACTGTGTAACAGTAAAGTTTAATTATACTGGCGCTGTTCGACCTAGTAGGAACTTTACATTGATTTCACTAGACCTAGCATTTATACTAAAACAGTCTTTTTGATGTAATTGAGCCTACCACACCAAGATAGAAAATAACTAATGGCACACTATTTTGTTTTCTTAATTTGTAATCCTTTTTTTGGTACCTTCTGGCTTAGTTGCACTGGTAACTAAATAGCATTTTGGCATAATATGCTACAACCTGCAAAAAACTATCTCCATTGGGCACTAGTAAATCATCTTGTTGAAGTCAGATTACTCTCATTATTATCTTGTCATAACATTCAACTTTAAAAATGTATGTAGGTGCTTCCTTATTTATTACTCAACTACAAGAATGTCTAAATATTAGACGTGCAAATCCAGCTAGTTTGTGTGCGTGATACTTTAGGCCTGGTAGCAACCATAACACTTGCTGCTTGAACTTGATGGTTTAAATATTTGTTTCTCTATTTCAGGACAAAATCGATCATTGATTGATACATCAATTAAAAATCACAGTGCGGGAATGAAGGTCATTACTATCATGCTTTCAATCCTTTTAGCAATTTTAACAGCCTGTCTTATCGCTGCACTCGTGATTGGAAGGTAAAGAATAAAAACTGAATTTTTTTTGTATTTTTGTGATTGTTTATATTGCATACTTGTATATAAGCCATGCTTGATATTAGATTGTTTATATTTAGTGATGTCCCGAACTGTTTGCCGAACGGTTCGCGAACTGTTCGCCATGGACTCGTCATTGAGTAAACTTTGACCCTGCACCTCACAGTCAGCAGACACATTCCAGCCAATCAGCAGCAGACCCTCCCTCAATTGCCAAAGCCCAATACTGGTCACAAGGTGTAGGTGGCATGCAAGGAGATTCTGGGGTTTTTTGAGACCCTGGCAGTCTCTCTTTCCTAGGGCAGCCTTAGACTCACAACTGCTGATCACGTTCACTCAGACATATGGATTTAAATGGTGTTTAAAGGGCTCTATGCATACCATTGGTGAGTCTGAGGCTATTAAATATCTAAATGTAGTAAAATCTAAATGTCATTAAAGCCCATAATGTGGAGGGGAGCAACAAGTGTTCTCATGTCCCTAAGCGATTAAAGGAAAATTTGGAGATTAAAAAATAAATCAATTTATTTTGAACATTTCTTTGTTCCTTTACGCATTTAGATTATGACCTCCTTTTAAAATTTAGAAAATGTAAAAAAAAAATTAAATTTTTTTAACTATTGACAGCCACTCCTCCTCTTTTGATATGAGTCCAATCAGTTGCTTCTTATAGCGAAGTATGGAGATCTACTACACATGGGCAGTAATTTTCCTTCCTGCACCAGTCATTTGCTTCTAACAGACTGTTAAACAGATGAAGGAAAGGCAAAATTAATACACTTAATATTGGCATTGGCACAAAAAATACTGGTACTCCCCAATAGTTCAAATTGAATAACATGTAAACCACAAAAAGAGTGTACAGGTGTTCAAAGGTAAATGGAAATGGTGTGCATAACAGTGAATGATAGAAAAACACACTGTGATCTCATGACAAGCATTAAAGGGACACTCCATTGCCTAAATAAAATTACAAAAAAAAACACAATTTTGTATATATACCCCACAATGAAGACATGCATGCATTTAACTATGCATTTTTGCTGGTATATGTAAAAGCAGCTTGCAAAAGCCGCCTGTATTTTTTTCTGAAGCCTTGGCAAGCCCTCCCCAACTACTTCCCAAACTTTTTTGTGGTTGTCCAATCACAGACATTTCAATGCAGCTCAATGAAAAGTCTTTGCAAGACAGGCGCTCTGAACAATTGTCTGCCTCTTGAGTTTAGCTCCACTGAAACAAACAACCAGGAAGTAACAGCAAGCTGAAGTGCTTTCGGGCTCTGGTGTGTCCCTTTAACAGCATTTGACATAATTATGCTGGGTATAATGATGCTGAACATAAAGCAGTGGTGGGTCTAGGGGAAAGCACCGGAGCAATTGTTCCACCCAAGAAGCTATGGGTATTTATATCTGGCTGGCAAGAAGGACTGAATGAGTGATCACATCTACTCGGTCCCCAACTCTCTGAAATTATATTGTATCTATGGATCTATGTATCTATCTCCAGTGGCAAAACTGATATAGAGAGGGCCCTGGTAATAGAAAGTTTCTTGGGCCCCGCTCTAGTGCAAGAATGGTGAGAAGATAGATCCCCAGCTGTTGAAAAACCTCCCACAATGCAATGCCAGCTGGGGATCTACCATTTGCCCATATTTTCAGGGTTGTATTAGTGTGCAGTATTTGTGTGTTTGAATATAAGCATGTTTTTGTGTAGCGAATGTGTGGGGTGTATTTGTATGTACTATTGCCATTGGAATGCAGTGGTGTACTTATGTGTAGTGTTGGTTTTTAAATGCAAGTGTGCTTTTGTGTGCAGTGTTGGTGTTTGAATGATGGGGTGTTAGTATATAATTTTAGTGTTTTGATACAGGGGTGTGTTTGTATGTAATGTTTGTTTTGAGTAATGTTGGCGTCTAAATCCAGGTGTGCTTTTGTGTGTAATGTTGGTGCTTGTATATAATTTTAGTGTTTTAATATAGGAGTGTGCTTGAATGTAGTGTTGGCTTTTAAATGCGGATGTACAATTGTGTATAGTATTGGTGCTTGAATGAAGGTGTGTGTTTGTATATAATTTTGGAGTATGAATGCTAGGATGTGTTTGTATGTAATGTTTGATTGCATGGGTGTGTTTGTATGTTATATTGGTGTATGATTGCTGGAATGTATGCACGTACACTGCCAGATACATACATACTTATACAGCTATACAAACACATTAAAATTCAGATACACATGTAAACACTTTGACACATGCTTACACTTTGGCACATGCACATACTTTGACACACAGATACAAACACTGGCACAAACACACACCTTGACGCTCAAGATATACACACTGTTGTCATAGTCAAGGCAGGAGAGGACCCGGGGAGCTCTTGCCAGCAGCTCCGCCGGGTTCCTCTCGAGAGGTCGGAGCGTTGCCACGGTTACCGAGGCAATGCTCAGATCTCGCGAGAGTGAGCGCTAGCCCCCTGTGGGGCTAGAGTTCACTCTCCACTGGACCACCAGGGATGGCAGCACGTTGCCCCCTCCCTACATAGGGTAAGAAGGCACGGGAGATATTAACTAAACGGCCCCCCCACCCCGCACATTACACACAGACAGCACACACATACATCACCCTTACACACACTGCACCCACACACACACACACACACACACTAACAGCACCCTCACACTAACAGCACCCTTACACACACAGCACCCTTACACATACACACACACACAGCACACACTAACAGCACCATTACACACACAGCACCATCACACACACACACTAACAGCACCCTTACACACACACACACACACTAACATCACCCACACACATAAGCACCCTTACACACACATACATCACCCTTACATACACAGCGCCCTTACACACACAGCGCCCTCACACACACAGCAGTATATGTGTGTGTGTGTGTGTGTGTATGTATATATAAATATATATATATATATATATATATATACAATTTGTTGGTGTTTTGCACTCCTTCTTTCCTCTTGGTTAAATGCCCGGTGCTCAGCTGCACAAAAATACAATCTGCCAAATGAAGCCAGCACTCAAGGACTTGTAAAAAACGAAAAGGGTTTTAATCCATAGAACTTGTCAATGTTTCAGTTTACATCAGCAAACTTTCATCAGGACATCAATTGAGTGCTGGCTTCATTTGGCAGATTATATATATATATATATATATATATATATATATACCGTATTTTTCGCTCCATAAGACGCACTTTTTTTCCCCTCAAAAGTGAGGGGAAATGTCTGTGCGTCTTATGGAGCGAATGTGAAGAATTACTTACCTGTCTTGGAGCGTGGGCCGGCTTCACAGCGCGCTCCGCGGTCCAGGAACTTCTATTTCAGGTTCCGGTTTCCGGCGGGACTGAAAAGAAGTGCACACACAGTGTGCACACTTCCTTTCAGTCCCGCCGGAAACCGGAACCTGAAATAGAAGTTCCTGGACCGCGGAGCGCGCTGTGAAGCCGGCCCACGCTCCAAGACAGGTAAGTAATTATGGGACAAGGGGAGGGGGAGACACTATGGGACAAGGGGAGGGGGACACTATGGGAGAAAGGGAGGGGAGACACTATGGGAGAAGGGGAGGGGGGACACTATGGGAGAAAGGGAGGGGAGACACTATGGGACAAGGGGAGGGGGGGACACTATGGGACAAGGGGAGGGGGGACACTATGGGACAAGGGGAGGGGGAGACACTATGGGACAAGGGGAGGGGGAGACACTATGGGACAAGGGCAGGGGGGGACACTATGGGAGGGAAAGTGCACTATGGGACAATGGGAGGGGGGGACACTATGGGATCAGAACACTAATGGACAAGGGGAGGAGGGGTTAAAGAACACTATGGGACAGGGTAGGAGGGGTTAACAATCACTATGGGACAGGGTAGGAGGGGTTAACAATCACTATGGGACAGAGGAAAGGGGGGTTAAAGATCATTATGGGACAGGGGAGAAAAAAAAATATTCTGAACAAACTGTCCCATGGTAAGAAACACTATGGAACAGTTTGTGCAGAATATTTTTTTTTCTGGGTTTCCTCCTCTAAAAACTAGGTGCGTCTTATGGTGAGGTGCGTCTTATGGAGCGAAAAATACGGTATATATATATATATATATATATATATATATATATATATAATAAAGTGGATAGCTTGGCACTCTCCTTACTAGTATTCAAAATATGTATACCTGCCCGGGTGCAATCCACAGTGCGTCCAATATATATACGCGGCTTGTGTGTTTGTGCTTTAGGGTGCACACCCTTATACAATAGTCATCTTGAGGAAGTGTCTCTAGTGCAGTCACAAGCATGTTCTCTGGCAAGTGTATACATTGTTCTTTCTCTGAAATGGCAATGTTTTCCATTTCAAAACAAAAAGGGCAGGGCTTATATACCAATATTGCTTAATTTTGGCATTTTTTTAGGCTCACTGGGTGATGGTTGCAGAGTTCTCTCCATAATAAATATACATTTATCAGAGTTACTGTTTTGTTTTAATAAGTAGTAAACCTGATAGATAACCTGTTTCACATATCACAGGGGGCATACCAGTAGTCTTTATTTGTTCTTACCTTTGGCTTTTTATAATTAGTAATGGTACCAACTAGTTCTCATTGCGCAGTTCTCTCTAAATCTTCAGACATTTACACAAGTGGTTTCTATAGGCAGGAAAAAGAACTTTGGGTAATGTCTGTGGAACAAGTGTAACCTTTTCTTTTTATATTTATATTGGTCATTCCCTCTGGCAATTTACCAAAAAGATACAACAGTGCACACGTTTTTAAAAACACAAAATCTTTAATTATGAAGAAAGTTGGACCTTGCACATATTGGTGGGGTTATGGCAGATTTATTGGAAAAACATACAACTGAAGCCTTTATCAAGTTCCTGTGGGAGAAGAAGCATAGTATGGTTTCTAATAAATCTGCCTTAAAGTTAACACCAACTGTATGTGCTCTGTCCAAATTTCTTTATGATTATTGATATGTTAGGAATGGTCCACACTGATCTGCAGGCACTATGGATGGAAATTATTTAGCAAGTGTCACTCCACTCTATGAATAGAATATAGAATCTTTATGTAGAGCAGTCTATCTATGATTTGCCTGTAAAGGTAAATCCAAAGATGTTTTAGAACTGCAACACGCTTGACACTTTGTCATTCTAAATGCTTGCAAAGCATCATGGGATTGAAGTTCTAAAACATCTGTGAACCAGCCTTTTGGGCAAAAAAATTGACACAGAATATACACACAAAATGCATCATATTTAACACATGAAGTCATTTTAGCCAATTTGTTTTAGCTTTCTATGTATACTGTTTATTAAAGATTATGTCTGTCTATTTAGCTATCTATTTTCTTATTTGAGCAGGCCCTAATTACCTCTTGTTCTTGTAAGTCAGACTTGTGTGTTGATTTTAACTTATATCTGTACGTCTTGAGAACCCATTTACAAGGCTGTGCAAAATTATGGTGCATTATAAATAATAAATTGTTATATATAAATGATAATTAATCTATTGTATATGTTTTATATGTAAAGTATTTTTAGGTCATATCTCCATTCAACATATTTACGTCTTTCTCGTCTGTCTTTTACTTTCTTTGCAGTAAGGACGTATGTTGGTACAGAAAACTTGACAACCTACCACTCGTTTACATGGAGATGGTTCGGAATTACTACAACATGCATGCAGTGTATGTTATACACACTCGGTACAAGCTAATGGAAGATGCTCCATACGCCTACCAGGAACATTATAAATAATAATACAGAATGTGTTTCTTTCCTTCATTCTGCAAACAAAGGGTAAATCTCTCTTTGAGACTTTAAGTGTTTAAAACAATTAGACAACTGCTTTCTGAAATGTATCTATTTAGCTACTTCCAGATATAAAACTGGCAAACTGAAATAAAGGAAACTGTGGGACCTAAAAGGGATGGAGTGAGTTAGGTTTAGCTATTATACCTGCCTGATCAAGTTCTAATTATTGTGTTTTAGCACAAATTAGACAGGTCACAGGGCAAATCAAATATATGGGGCAAAGGGTTTTAAGTTGGTATGTGTGTATACTGAACCTTGGAATAGGTGGTGAGGCTTGAAAGATATAGGTGGCCACAAGCAGAGAAGGGAGGGACAGTAATGGGCTGGTGGTGTGGTTGGTGTGCTGAAGGGACTCCTCTAGATTAGCTTGAAGCAGACTTGGCTGTGGGTGGTCCAGTTTTAGCATGAACCGCTAGAAACCCCTTTCCCCTTTTTTTAGTGGGGATCTTGACATCCCCAAAATTGTAACATGTGATTATGCCTTTGATTAACTAAAGTCTACCCATTTACTGAAGTCGGGGAAGTGGGTATTTATCCTTCCGATACCATTGCCTGTCTAAATTATAATTATCAAAGGGTGATGAAAAGAGATTGACTGGTTAATTGGGGAAGCTTAAACCTTTAAGTATCATGAAAGAGGTTTGAACAAATTTTGTCCCTGGCATGTATCTTGAAAAATGTGTAATTCGGTATTCAGGGAAAAAATATTTCTAGTTTTTCTTTATTATCCTTTATACTAGAAATTGTAGGTTGTGTTTTAAAGGTGTTTTCTTAAAATACCTACTAACAGCATATAAATATTTATAAAATGATCTGCTTTTGTCACTCTCTTATATAATATTTGAAAGCCGCATGTTAATAAAAAGTCTACAAATTGTTTTATGGTAGCCTTTGTTCAGTTTTTTTTGCGCTTGATATAAATTCTCTGTTCTCCTTTCTTCTGACAAGGGAAAATAAGAAAACACCCACAATTTTTTCAATGTTTTCAATAATATTTATTTCACAAATTTGTAAATATCAACTTGAAAAAAATGTAACTATGAAAAATAAATTAACTTAGAAATAAATAAAATTTAAATAATTAACATTTACTTAACAGTTAATACTCTTTCTATAAACAAAAAAACACACAGATCCAAAGTGACCACTCAGTCTATTCGGCAGAGGTAATGTGCAATGATTCACATCCGCTGCCTTCGAGCCTTCATTTCTGCAAATTTATCGATTACTTCATCAAAGCCAATCTTCCTTGCATATTCATGCTCAATTGAAAGTATAGCCAGATTTGTCAACCTTGTCTCACTCATGGTTGAGCGAAAGAAATTTTTTATCAATTTTAATTTGGAAAAACTTATTTCACATGAAGCAATAGACACACAGAGAGTCAAAAAGAATCTTAAACACAGTGACAAATTTGGCAGAGATTCACAATAATCCCATTTAACAAGGAACTCCAGGAACTGCAGTGCCGTCCATTTCTTTGCTTCTTCAACACTGATCTTGGCAGCTTCCAAATGCCTCAGAAGACGTTCAACTGACAGTCGAACAGTCTCCTCTTCTTCTTCATCATCATCATCAGAGTCTTGCTGATGCAGGCTTCTGCAGGCATCGCTTTCATCTACATCACTTTCACCGCTTGACGATAAAATGATCTTCTCCAATTCTTGCGCTTTCACATATGAAGCTTCTTGAGAAGATACTTCAGGCATTTCACCTCTGGATTCAACAGACTGAACGTCTTCAGCGCTTTCTCCTACTGCAGTAGATGTTGAAGGTGCAACATATTTTAAAATTGATCCAGACATCGCCTCAGCTGACTTTTCTTTTGCCTTCTTAATTTTTCGTTGCTGAGACCCGCTTGGTCGATTTCGCTTCATATTGGTGTTTTCTGCAGAAAAATACTAAATTTATTTTGGCTCTAGGGTTTTGCTAGTGCGATATCTGTCTTATATTTCCCATCTTGGCATACCATTTGTAAAAGTAGACAACCCAGGGTATTTAAAGGGACACTATAGTCATCCAGACCACTTCAGCTCAATGAAGTGGTCTGGGTGCCAGCTCCCCCAGATTTGAACCCTCCAGATGCAAAAATCACATCCAGCTTGCAGAACGTCCATAGGAAAGCATTGAGAAATGCTTTCCTATGGACTGTTTGAATGCGTGCTCGCGGCTCTTGCCACGCATGTGCATTCGGCTCCACTCGGGAGCTGATGTCGGCGGGGGAGGAGAGTTCACCAGCGCCGAGGGAGCCCGGCACTGGATTAAGATAAATGGCTGAAGGGGTTTTAACCCCTTTAAACCCAATCAGCCAGTTACCTTTCTCCAGCGTCTCACTGACAGCCGCTAGAGGCTGGATTAACCCTCAGTGAAACATCTCTGAAACTGCTATGTTTTCAGCTGCAGGGTTAAAACTAGAGGGACCTGGCACCCAGACCACTTCATTAAGCCGATCCTTAGAAACAGCATAGGAAAAGGATTTGGGTTCAAAAGATGTAGCGGCTAGGGCAGAGGTTTTGTAGAAGGGGGCCAGGGCAGAGGTTTTGTATAAATGCGCCAGTTTTGTAGAAGGGGGAAGACCAGTGCTTTTGTAGAAAGGGGCAGGTGAGAAACTTCTAGAAAACTCCTGCTCTGCCCCTTTCTACAAAGCCCCTTGTCTCGCCCCTTCTAGAAAACCCCTGCCCTTTGGCCTTCATATAAAAACCCTGCACACTGATCACATAAATTTCATACACTCCCTACACATAAAAACCCTGCACACCCTTAATTAAAAAAAACAAAAACACTGCACACCCCCTTAATAAAAAACAGAAACCATGCACAACCCCCTTAATAAAAAAACCCTGCACACCCCCTTAATAAAAAAACCCTGCACACCCCCTTAATAAAAAAAAACAAACACTTGCACAACCCCTTTTGATAACAAAAAACCTGCACACACCCCTTATACCCCTGCACAACCCCTTATTAAAAAAACTAAAACATGCACAACCCCCTTTAATAACAAAAAACCTGCACACCCCCCTTAAAATCCTGCACACCCCCTTAACAAAAATCTTCAGTGCACATGCTCCCTTAATAAAATACTGCAACCCCATTAATTAAAAAAAAACCTGCACCCCCATTAATTAAACCTACCCCCTTAAATAAACCTCCCCGCGCTGCACCCCCCTTTAATTAATCCGCACCCCCTTTAATTAATCCACACCCCTTAATTAATCCACCCCCTTAATTAATCCACACCCTTAATCCACACCCCCCTTAATTAATCCACACTCCTTAATGAATCCATACCCCTTAATTAATCCACACTAATTAAGCCACACCCTCTTAATTAATCCACACCCCCTTAATTAATCTACCCCCTTAATTGATGCACACACCCTTAATTAAGCCACACTAATTAATCCACACCCCCTTAATTAATCCACCGACCCATAATTAATCCACCCCCCCTTAATTAATCCATCCTCCCTTAATTAATCCACACTAATTAATCCACACACCCTTAATTAATCCACACACCCTTAATTAATCCACACTAATTAATCTACACCCCCTTAATTAACCCACCTTTAATTAACCCACCCCCTTAATTGATGCACTCACCCTTAATTAATCCACACTAATTAATCCACACCCCCTTAATTAACCCACCCCCCTTAATTAATACACCCCCCATAATTAATACACCCCCCTTAATTAATCCACCCCTTTAATTAATCCACCCCAAATTAATACCCTCCCCATAATTATGGAGCCCTAATTAATACACCCCCCCATGAGTAATACACCCTCCATAATTAATACACCCCCCATAGTATTAAGGACCACTATAGTGCCAGGAAAACATACTTCGTTTCCTGGCACTACTCAATGCCTAATTGCCCCTCAGGGTCCCCTCCATCCCGGCTCTGGAAGGGGAAGGTAAAAACTTACCTTTTTTCCAGCGCTGAGGCGGGAGGCTCTCCTCTCCTCTTTCCGCCTCACGTTCGCCCGCCCGACTGAATGCGCACGCTCGGCAAGAGCTGCGCGCGCATTCAGCCGGTCACATAGGAAAGCATTCATAATGAAAATCACAGTGAGAAGCACGCAAGCGCCTCTAGCGGCTGTCAATGAGACAGCCACTAGAGGAAATAGGGGAAGGCTTAACCCATTCATAAACATAGCAGTTTCTCTGAAACTGCTATGTTTATGAAAAAATGAGTTAACCCTAGAAGGACCTGGCACCCAGACCACTTCATTAAGCTGAAGTGGTCTGGGTGCCTAAATGTCGCACTTTAAGCCACACACCCCCCCACGCATAATTGTACACATAATAGTGTAATACACCCCCCATAATTAATCCACCCCCAAATTAATACCCACTCCCATGTGTAGACCCCCCCCCCCCCCCATAATTAAATACACCCCATAATTAATACACCCTCCATAATTAATACACCCCCATAATTAATACACCCCCATAGTATACACCCCATAATTAATCCACCCCTTTAATTAATCCACCCCCATAATTAATACACCCCCCTATAATTAATACACCCCCATAATTAATACCCTCCATAATTAATACACCCCCCATAATTATACACCCCCTTTTAATTAATTTAATAACATCACATAAATTACATAAACACATAAATGAATAACATCACATAAATTACTACTCACGTTTTGATGATGCCTTCCCTCCGAGACGATCACTGGATCCTTGCGCTGAAGATCCGTGAAGGCGAACTGACGGCGGTGCTGCGTACGGCGTCATCACTCCGCGTCCGGCAAGACTCCTCCCCCTTCTCAGCCTCCGCAAAGGTGCTGCCGCTGCGGCTGTGCGCAGTGTAATGATTGGGGCCGGGGGGGGTGACACATGAAACTGGAAGTCATGGCACCCTCCTAGTCAGTGGCACCCTGGGCGGGCCGACCCCACCCCGACCCCGCCCTTAGTACGCCACTGACTATCCGTTAAAGCAGTGATCTCAAAGTATCAAGAATACTGTTATGTGACCTATGGCCTCTCATTCCATAGACTTGTGCATGGGTGAAATGGTTAAACCGAATTTCTTAGTCCAGGTATGTCTTGTCTTGGTTTTGATGTGTCAGTGTTCCGAAGCAACAAATGACTGAAAGTCCGAGTTACATGGAAGAACTGCATATGCCATGAGATTTGGGACATAAGCAATTCTTCCATGTAATTCAATTATCGGGCTATTCGGTCACCTGTGATTCTAACAATCCACCAAACTGGCCAAGTTTCATCCAAATTGCGATTTCTCGAATCTGAATGCACAAGTCAATTCCAGAATGTAAAGGTATAACAAAGTACAAGGCATACCTCTCAATGTCCCAATTGCAGGTGACCTGGTCCACTTCAGGGTTCTGATCATGCTCATATTTACTGTGATTGAGAAAACTGGTCGCTGTAAAGTAGTGTTTGCTTGCACAGTGTGCACCTGGCTGCAGATCAGGATGGATGGGAGGCGTGTGGGAATGTGTGGTTGTATATGTACATTTATGTGCATATGTGTAAGGAGTATAGATTTGCATGTGTGTATGGTATAATGGAAAGACAACAACTTTGCCAATGGCTCAACATAAATTTACTTTGAGACCCCTGCCTTAAAGGGACACTCTAAGCACCAAAACTCTGTTCCTAAAGTCTGACAAATGTAAGCATTTCCTTTTCTGAGTAGAAGCAGTATTTACATTTGTCACTAACGATGCCTATCGACTTCTCATCAGACAGGCACTAAAGGAATATCAAGTATTGAAAGTATTCATGTTTAGCTTCACCAGAAACTGTGAATGTGTGTCATAGACAAGAACTGGATTAAATGTTTCTCTATGATAGCGTGGGGAACCTTTTTTCTGCCAAGAGCCATTTGGATATTTCTATCCAAAATTATCAATTTAAAAATGAACCTGTTATATTTGATGAAACATTTAATTAACTCACCCCTAATGTGATGGCTGGAACTGCTTCTTTTTTGTGCGGCATGTGATGTTAGTTGTAGTATTGATGATGTTGCTACTCGATATTGCATTTCCAGGTTTGTATCAGTCAGTCTGGAGCGCAGTCGACTCTTTGCGACGTTTACTACAGACATGCTCACTGACACACACATGCTCACTACAGACAAGATCACTACAGACAAGCTCACTGAAACACACACATGCTCACTAATAACAAGCTCACTGACACACACTGTCCAAGTACTTAATTAAAACAAACCAAGAATTTGAGCTATATGTATGTTAAAGCATAATTTACCTCTTTCATATTAAGTGCATCCACACTTATTATATATCATTATGTTCAGGAGGAATAGAGCTGCTTTCAACTCGCATCAAATATTTATATATGAAACACAATTTTTTATGAATAAAATCTACAAAAGTGTGAGAAATTAAGGCATATTGTTATTTTTCAAGTTCTGTATGACATTTTAACTGTGAATATCATAACCTGTTAGCTTTTACTGCAATAAAATACACATATTTGTGTTCAGCAATGTCTTACAAGTACAACTGTACCCCCCATGTTCAGCTTTTATGGGATTTAGGAAAGTTACAGGGTCAAAAATGTGGCTTTACCCTTTTCATTTCTACACATTGAAATTTACTAGATTGGTTTGCTAGGCCTATGTTGCCTTTGAGACTGTATGGCAGGCCAGGAATAAAAATCGACATACCATTTACAAAAGCTGACAACCAAGGGTGTTTTGAATGGGGTATGTCCAGTCTTTTAAGTAGTCACAAATCCTGGTCAAAGTTATCGTTTATATCTGTTTTTTGCATTGCTCACACAAAAACTGCCATTTTAACCACATGATATCATTCTCACTATATGTTTTACTACTCTAAAACACTTATATTTGTG